CTTCTCTACACAAGCCTGAAACAGAGTAAACATTTGTTTTCACATGGAAAAAATTCCATCAGGCAGTCGGCCATAATGAGAAAGAGCATCCAATCAAGCTATGTATCATTTTTGCACTGCACTAAATATCAGAGATTTGCAGCATTTTTCACTGCACTAAATATCAGTAATGTAAAATATTATTAAAAAGGAAGCTTAACATAAACTTGTTAGTTTTTCTTTGAATGAATAAACTTGTTAGTTCTTACGTACATACTACATACCAACGAAAATAAGGGAGGACCAGATGTGCATTCAGTGATGGTGGCAGTGTAGGAGCCTATTGTGTAGGCGGCTGACCGTCTGTCTTCGCATTGTGGCAGGTAGTCATCGCCTGATTTCATGAACCTGAGCAGTTTAAAAATGAAGAAATATACATCGCTTCAGAAGCACCAGAAAATAAGATAGAATGAACCTGAGCAGTTTAAAAGTAAACATCGCACATGGTACAAAAGCAGAAATCAATTAATTTCCGGGAGATATAATGAGCATTGCACAAAGCAATGGTTGAAAGGCATTATAATCATACAGTCCATTTTGTCAGATATTTTTAATACATACACATATTTGTCTATTCGATATATAATTCTAATCATGGAAGTGTATATTTCATCGTCGATAATTAACTCACTTTTCCTTAAACTAACTCTAGAAAATCCCAATAATTAGAATCTAATCAGAATCTGCTTGCAAGTATCGGGTTTTTCATTAACCAATCAACCAATCGCAGCAGAGGAAATTTAGGGGGAGAGGATAAACCAAGGCAATTTCCGCCTTACCTTCTGCGCCTTATCACGATGCGAACAAATCGATTTGTCAACTACAGTACAACACTAACTACCTCATCCTGATGAAGGCATGAAGCAGAGAAGAGAATCTGAATTTATTCAGACATTAAACATCTGATTTTTTTTCATAAATTCACTAATAAACTGGTAAGTTGTTCCTTTAGAGTTTAGACAATACATTGAAAGTGCTTGCACATTACTAATGCATGGCATTTTACATATTCAGGTGTCATGAATAAAAATGTAAACCAAATTTGACTTTTTAAAGGGAAAAATTATCACTGCACAAATCAGAACTTTCCATGTGGTTTAATAGAGCACAATTCCACCATTGAAGTAAAATCTCATTATGTATATAACCTTCGGTACACATCACAGAAACTGTATACAACGGAAAGTAAAAGAAACTCTCAATATTGGCATCATGATTTAGATAATAAAATTCTTCTTTTAACTTGGATGTCAATTTGGATGTTGATCTCTTAAGAGAGCACACAACATGTCTATCAATTTAATTGGTTTCCTGGGTTATGTTGTTGACCAAGCAATGAAGTTCAAAAGAAATTATCTAAATTTTCAGATATAAACATCCCAATAACGACTTACCTTGTTGGCGAGCGGATCGCAGCCTGTGCGAGGCCAGTGCCGGGGTTGAGAAATCCGACCACCGGGACTTGGAATCTCGAACTCGCACGTGGCCAGAGGAAGGGGCTGGTGCCGGGGTCAACCGCGAAAACAGGGCGGCATCACTAAGGCCAGATCGGAGCAAGAGGGAGGAGCGCCAAAAATCAAATGGAAGACATCAAACCCAAATCGTGCTTATAACTTATTTAAACTGTATAACTACGAGAATCCAGTTTGTGAGTATTTTTTAAGCTCTGTTGAACACATGATAACATCATAATATTGTATTCACATCATCACAATACATGATCTATTTAAATTGAGAAAATAATTTACAGAACCAAAAGCTGGTCTGCACCTGAATTGCCAGCATCACTTGTTTCAATCCAACATAACAGAATGACCAGCACGCATGTTTATTGTACTATATAAATTTACACCCTACTTATCAAAACCCAAGACATCATAACCTACTCTCATTCTTCAGTAAAATTAGCAACCAGAAATTAAATGGGCATCCCACAAAGGAATTTAACCTTCTCACATCACAAGAACATGCATATAATTTCATATGCAAAAATTGCAAAATATTATATCCATGTGAATTAAATTCACTCTTCCAATATAGCAAGCAAGGTGTACACCTCAGAACAAGTAACAATGAGTGTAACACATCAACAGAGGCGGCTTATCACCATATTGGGTTCAGGAATGATCTCCTCTAGATGGTAGATTGTCTAACATTAGTCAATTGACGGGTGACTTCAGAGGGAATTCATCTGAAACAAAAGGCTGTTGGCTCTTGTTAAATACTCCATTGTTGTTCTGATGGTATTTGCAGCCGCAACCAACTAAAATATTCCCTAATTGCTCCTTGAGCAAACAACTCCCAATCCAATCCACAGAACATTCAATCCTGACCAAGCGATTGTGATGGGACACTAACCGAGCAGATGAATTATAGAACTAAGTAACAGAGTACATAATTAAATTTGAGGGAAAAGGGGTACCCTCACACGCTTGCGTCCTCACGGCCGAGGAGCTTGACCGGAGTTCTTGTCTTCGGCGACATTACCTGAGACGCCGGGAGCTCGTCGGGCCCGAGTATCCTCCCTGGCCACCATGACCCGTTCCGTCGCCGGGGATCATCGTGTGGGTGCGGTGACGGAACGGTGACGTAAATCCTGGACGACGACGGATGCGACGACGGTGATGGGGATTGGTTGAGGGCGAGCCGGCGGCGGGGATCGGTGGCGGCGAGACGACGGATGCGACGAAGGCGGAGCGGCGGCAGTCGAGGGTGGCGGCGACGACGGCGGAGCGGCGGCAGTCGAGGGCGGCGGCGACGACGGATGCGACGATGGGTGACGGCGGAGTGGCGGCAGTCGAGGGCGGCGGCGATGGTGGTGGCGCGGGGATCGGTGGCGGCGAGACGACGGATGCGACGACGGCGGAGCAGCGGCAGTCGAGGGCGGCGACGACGGCGGTGGCGCCGCGTGAGAGGGAGAGATTAGGGTTGGGGAGCGGCGCGCGGTTGGGGAGGGGCGGGGACGCGTGAGAGCGAGAGAAAGGGGGCGGAGAGGAGGGCGCGGTGGAGAGGTGGAGACGATCCTGAGCGTTGGATTTTACACAGAGATGATCTGGACCGTTCCATGAGTAATGAAAGAATGAGTGATGAGTGAAGAGAGAGAGAGAGAGAGAGAGAGCTTCGCAGGCGACGATGGCGAGCGGCGGCGTGGTGAAGAAGGAGATCGGCGGGAACCACGACGTCGTCCGCTTCGGCGTCAACGACAGCGTCAAGGGGGACCTCGCGCCGCCGCACCCGCTCCAGGCCAGCGTCCACAAGGTCTTCTTCTTCTTCTTCTTCTTCTTCTTCTTCTTCTCCCCCCCTCTCGCCCTCGAAACCCTAGCTAACACGCTGAATCCCCGCCGCGCGCGCAGGAGGCCAAGTTCTGGGCGGACAAGAAGAGGTTCGGCGCGGAAGCCATCTACGGATCCGCCTTCAACATCCGCAAGGATCTTGATGCCCAAATCCTCTCCAAGTAATTCACTGTCCTATCCCCATGTAATTTCCGCTGCAATACCACCATCTGTCCAAGTTGATAGATAGGCACTAGTAGTTCCATCTGAGCAGGCAGTATTACATGTCTTGTTGGAACTGTTAGGTCCGTAAACTTAAGTGGGCTGGCTTATTATGGGCACGAGATATGCATATTTGAATTCGATGTGGTTTATATCCTCCCTGTGTTTGTTAAGATTGCCCTTGCAGTTAGCTCGTTTTTTTTTTTTTTTTGTGTGTGTGTGTGTGTGTCTAGTTGTAAATCTGGTAGTAGCTCTTTGCATTTACTGCAAGTCTGCAACTCTTTTCCTATGTGCGTATTATATCAGTGATGTTATTGTTGGTGGTCATCAGTTGTATTCTGCTGACAGTGTGCAAATTCCTTCTGAAACTTCTTGTTATATACGCCAATTTTCCTGGTTAGAATAGTTGATTCTCAAAATATTGTGCATGTGTAGTATTTTGAGCATCTCCACATATCGATATGCTCAGGTTACTAAGATTTTGTTGATGCTTTGTATGTTCTAGTATGGATCACTCAGAATGCTTGAATCCCTTGGTCTGGTTGAATTCACAGTATCTTGATGTTGTTTTTGTTTGTCTGCCCCTTCTAGTAACAATTAGCACATCAATACACTGCAAATAGGAGAAAAACAGCACGCACAACTCATCTCCATTGCTTTTAATTGGGCAGGCTAACATGAAAGATGTTTTGATTGATGATTTATCTGTTGCCAGGTTCCAAAGGCCCCCTGGTGCATTGCCGTCATCTATGCTAGGATATGAGGCACTGACTGGTTCCTTAGATGATTTTGGGTTTGAAGATTATCTTAACTGTAAGGATTGCTGTCCTTTGATTTCCCCTGAATCTTATTGCTTGCTTTTCACATTTCTTTGCAACTATTTGGGAACCAACTTTTGCTTATTTATTATATTCATGTTTATGTTCTTTATTGGAGTCAGGGAGTGCCACCAAAGTTCTATTTACCTTCATATGAATTCTTGTTTGTTTACTTTTAACAGGGCAAAATTGTGTAGTCGTTTTTCTCGAACATAAAACTATGTAGTCTTGTGGCATCTTGGTATTGGTAGTTTAGAAGTTCTTGGAAAACAAAGGGTCATCTTGATAGATTTTTGGTGTTAGGATGTACTACCTCTAGACTCTAGTCAAATTTATTCGGCGTTAGAAACAATGCCAAATAAATTTGGCTGGAGGGAGTACTTGAAATAATAATAATTATCTCAAATTGGTTGTTTTATTCCGTCATCATGATATCCACAAATTATATATTTTGCTTCTGTCGGTGCTTTGAGCTTGGTTTGGCTTTACTTTCCATGCAGAACTTACATCTCATCACCATTCATTAATGCTGATTTATACTAATCACCACAAAATACAGCCGATATAGACTATATTTCAGTTCCACCGCCCTTGCGACAACTTTTTTCTTGTCAAGTATTTACTCGTCCTATTGTTACTTATAAAGAAGAAGAAAAATAAGGATTCAAGCACCAAGAAGCAGCCGGCGAGGGAGGCCGCTGCTGCGAACAGCGAGTCGAGGGCGATGGTGGCGGAGAGGGAGAAGGAATACGACCGGCTGTCTAAGTTCCTCGTGGTCTACCTCAATGCTATTTGAGACGCTGCGGCCTCCGAGGATGGCTGGGTCCTGGGGCGTGGAGCTCTGGAATTGCTGCTCGGCGGCACCGCCTACACACAAGCGACAAGTGCGCCACAAATCTCTCTCTCGATGCAGCAAGTGCAGCGGAGGGAGCTGCAACTGGTCGCCGTTTCTGCCATGCTGATAGATTGCAAGTACGAGGAGATTTGGGCCCCAGAGGTAGCAACATTTTATCCCCTTTGCTCTGCACTGTCCATTTCTAGCAGGGACTTGTTCTGATTGGATCTCTGTGTATGTATTTGCAGGTGAACGACTTCATCTTCATATCAGATAGTGCATACACTAGGGAACAGATTCTTGCAATGGAGAAGGGGATTCTGAATAAGCTTCAGTGGAATCTCACCATTCCTACACCATATGTCTTCATTATGATGCTATCTGCGTCTGCAGATAACAAAAGTGACAAGGAGGTAAAGAGCCATGGCTTTTGTTTGTTTCTGTTTACCACCAGATTATATTTCATTGCTAAGCGACAAGTTTAAGCGTGTACTCAAGATTTCTTTTGGTGAATGCTGATGGAGCACATGGCCTTCTTCTTCGCTGAATTGGCACTGATGCAGTACGGGCTGGTGGCATATGCCTCTGCTGTCTATGCAGCCAGGCCCAATCCTCGTCATTTCTATATATGAAGAAATTGCTGGATCCATCCTCTCGGCTAACTAGGACGTTGTTCCACTAGATCTCCATTATTCCTAGTGCAGGTTCGTCACTTTGTCCCCAATCGAGCTAATTCTCTTTCCAATCATTATTGTGATTATTGCAGATTTCTTTGTGGCCCAGTTATCAATTTTCAACAGATTTCAGTATCCGAATCTGCTCCTTCTTTCCGATACAACAATATTTGGACTAGCAGATTAACTACTACATTTCGCTGAACTAGCTCCTTCGGTTTCATCACAGGTTTATTTGGATTACATAATCCCCTATCGGTTTAGTTCCCTTTATTGTTGAACAATTGGAGATAATATCTTTCACGGTATGGACAAACACTAGAAATCTGTTTTTTAATTGCTAACTATGCAATTCCTACATACGCTAATTTGTTTTCCATTTTTCCTGTTTTGTTATTATTCATGTTATTTTTGCAACAATCCAGCAGCTTTGTATTTCATACTGGTGTTCGTATTTTTTAATTGTACCAGGGAAACTCTGAGCAGTTATCTTCTTCACTTAATCATTGCAGATAATTCGTACCACTGAGCAAAATTCAATGATGCAATTATTTTATATGCAACTCATTTGGTGAACAAGATGTATCTTGTGGCAAACAACGAGATGAAAAGTTACTTGATCCTTCAGGCATACCTGTGATTTTCCAATCTATTCTTTGCACGTTCTTGGAAAGATTGGTTGTCCCTGATAGCTGTCCGTAGTGATTCATGGATACTGTGTGGCATTTTACTTTGGGGCTCATTTTGGATTTGATAAAGAAGTCAGGTTTGCTCCTAATTCAATTTTTTCCCTGTTGATTTGCACCACCTTTTCTCAAGCCTGTCATTTTAATTATATATGCTCTACCACTCTACTAATTAATTCTCACTCTGTGTGCAAGGATGTGTGGTAGTGCAGTCACATACTTACATGTTGTGAGTCTAGATTATTTTAGTGACACATATCATGATTTACAATCTGACAACGAATCATTCTAAAATGATTTGCTCCATTAACTGTCTTAATTATCACGAACCCAGATTTGGTTTGTCACAATATTAACTCTTGATAAATCCTTTCACGTAAATCAACAGACTACACTTTGTTAAGTCCGCCTCCCAAAGAAATTTTGCTACCTTCTGTCCACACCTCTAAACAAAACCACCTATGATAGCTAAAAAAATACCAATCCGAATTAAGATAATAAGTTTAGCCGTCACCATCTTCTCAAATTGCTTTTTGCCCACATAATTAGTCAGAGTGATCAGCTGAATGCTTTTCCCACTCAGCAGTGCTCTAAAATGTTACTGACAAATTCATTTTGCCAAACAAATTTAGTTCATTTACATTCCAGAAATGTATATGTCCTATCAGTTGAACATACTTGCAGGGATTATTCCTTGAGTCCTTGTCTCCTTGAAGTTAGTTGTTATTGTGCCAATGTTGAAATATTCAGTATATTTGCTGAATTTTCATGCTTTATTGCTCTGCAAACCATGGTTCCTGATTTCTACTCTGTGTACTATTTTGGTTCAGACTGGTTAAATGTGTTGGAGTACTTCAATTTTTACTGTTTCATGAGTTCAAAATATAAATTAATCATTCCAGTGAAGCATCGTACTGTGCTATTCTGAGTTGTATGCTGCAAAGGTTAAATTGTGCCTCCATCCACTTTCAAACTGAAATTATCACGGAAGAATGTACAGCAAATATTCTCTTCACCTATCTTTTCTGAAGTAGGAATGTGTCCTAATCCAGTTTCACTTTTTACCCTGCTGCTCTGAATAATCAACAGAAAGAGATGTTCTACTGCTTTGTACTTCATCTCTGGCTGCTACTAGCACTCTGAAGAATCACCCTGAGCTTATCACCCGTCATTTCCTCTCTCTCCTTTCTCTCTGTCTTGGTTGAAATTACATTTTGATTGGTTCTTTGACAACTGTGGAGCAGATTGCCAAGAGAAGGTCAGCTCATCTGCTGAAGTATCCTACTGTGACGATTATAAGCCCTGGGATCAGTAACACTAGAGTCCATTCAAGACTCCATAAGTAATGCCATGGCAGATGTGCATATTTGCTCTTAATATAATAAACACCAGTTGTGTACCTTCGGATAATTTATATTGCAGTTTGTCAAGAACATAGCTAAATTCTAATTGAGAAAGGAAGTTCTGCATTGAACGGATCACAGTTCTTATGATTTAGTGTAAATGATTCAGTCAGGCCGTGCATTTTCCATAGTTCATTTTCAAAAAAACCTTGTTCTTTAATGGGTCTATCTGTAAATGCAGAGAGCACATACCTTATTCAAATAATCAAGATAGATCAGATTATTTTCCTTTTGATAAAATTTATCGAGTTAAATTCAAGCCAGATAGACCCACGGGAAGTTTATATATGATGTGTGTAGTATGCATGAAACTTAGGATGTAGGTTTTCTTAGTAAAGTTACATCCTACAAAATAATGTTCGGATACACTACACTTTCCACATTCGCATACAATTACTAATTAAAAAAAGATGTTATCACCACAACAGCCCACTGTATTGTTTGCAAACAAACACTTCATAGCCACAATTACTACAGGTGGAAAAAAAAAACTACCTCATCTTTATTAACCCCCACCTTCTTGCACATACTCTGCATCCACTACTTATCAAAACTACAACTTTTAGATTTGTTAACTATGTCTATAAAATACTATATCCGTCTAGGAATGCGCCTTGGATTCTATGTATTATCAATGCAATATTTAAAACTTATAATTACATTTTTACAACTATTCATATACGAGTTCTATACACTCAGTGCTAGGTCCTAACAGAATGCTGAGGCCCTCAAGTTCAAAAGATTATCACAGAGCCGGCAACAACTCATTGATTGGTCAGTAAAAATAAAGGTAAATAAAGAAGCGTATTCAGTATTGGAAAACGTGCAAACAAATACTTATTATACATATTTTCAAAAAAAAAAGCTATGAAAAATTACCATCTTTCAAGTAAAGCAACAATTCTTAACTTAAAGAAAAACTTAAATATTTATCGATAACAGTACAAACCTAATGTAAAAAAAAGTTATAAATCAATTTATTCAAATTTGTGACAACTCTCACGGCACGCCGCGCAACCACATCTAGTAGTTTATATGGGCACTTGACCTCCCTAGTACAAGGAAATAATCATTATTTCTCCCTAATTAAGACTTTCCTTGTTGAAAAACTTTCCAAATCTCTAATCCTTGATTGTGTTGTTGCTGCTTGCTGCGCATGTGCCTGGCTTCCATCTTTGCTGCTTGCTGCACATGTCGCCCCACATGACACCTTCACTCTTCTTAGAGCAGATACAGTAGCAGACTATAAGCCAGCTATAAACATATTTGAGGAAGATAAAAGAGGAGAGATAAGAGCAGATAAAAGAGGAGAGATTAGAGCAGCGGGCTATTAACACTTCTTTTGTGTTAATTCCCATCAAGACTTCTTTTGTGGCTGGCTATTAACTGTGTTATGGACTATGCACAGGTTTCAAAGGAGCATGGGGGTTTCATGAGATTTATCCAGGTTTCTTGCCTAGGAGCATCGGCCTCTTCTTCTAGAATGCTGAGGGCCAAGGCTGCTGGGGAAGAATCTGTGTTGAAGGAATTTCCTGAGGTGATCATCTGCATTAGGCAATACTGAACTTCTGTTTCTATACTACCCAAAGTTAGAAGCAAACATGTCCCATTTATGTTGGCGGTTACTTTAACCAAACTTCTGTGTTGCATGGATCAACAGGCTACAATTATGAGGCCTGCAACTATGATTGGCACAGAAGATCGGATTTTGAACAGATGGGTACAGTTTGCTAAAAATTGATTCCCGGTCTACAAAGTAATTGAGCTTTCCTGTTGGCTGTTGTCGTAATCCCTTGACTCAAAATTTAGTCTAGAACATTAATTGATCAGAGAATACAGGCCTCATCATTTGCCCTATGGCTTGATTTGAATTTTAAAACTTGATTTTGAAGTTGGTTTTGATGCTTTTACAACGTAGTTTCTTTTTCAGCATTAGCTTTTATTTAAGCCACTAAGGACACATGTAAAAGTTTTACTCATAAATTACTTTTTTTATCACTAATAAGCCATTACGGCTTTTAATCAGTCATAGGCAATCAATGGGGACCTGCATCTTAAACTTCCACAGCAGGTGAGATTACATGAATGCAACCTTTTGGTTTTTGCAGGATTCAGCCTGTTTATGTTGTGGATGTTGCTGCTGCTATTGTCAACTCCCTCAAGGATGATGGCACCAGCATGGGAAAGAGCTACGGACTTGGTGGACCAGAGATTTATACTGTTCATGATCTGGTAATTATCATGCACAACATTTTGTTATGCAGCAATGAACGAATCTTCAAGTTGGTTGGTCAGAGTTTTTTTATATAAAAATGTTCTGGATGTTACAGGCTGAGCTGATGTATGAGACAATATGTGAATGGCCACGGTACATCGATGTTCCTCTTCCTATTGCAAGGGTATGAACTTAAATAATATCTTGTGTTGGTCAAGGCGAATGGCCACGGTACATCGATGTTCCTCTTCCTGTTGCAAGGGTATGAACTTAAATAATATCTTGTGTTGGTCAAGGCAACCTGAGTATTGGATTGTCTCGTCTTTTGACCGTCATGCTTTGGGTTGTGCAGGCTATCGCATCTCCTGAAAGCTGATAGATTGGGATTTTTTTTTTCAATACTCTAAGCCTCTAATGAAAGGTGCATATGGACTTTTATTTTAGATGTTCTAACTTTGTTTTGTCTCTACCTCTCAAATTGTTACTATATATGTACTCTTCAACCTGCCGCATAGGTTGGCACATGTTTATAAGGTCAAATGGAATATATTTCTTGTGTTTTTACTATCATTTGGTTTAGTTCTTTCACACAGCAATGTTGCTATTTCTATTGTTGCTTCCCGCCCTGGAAAAAACACGGCTCAAGCCGTGAGGTCTTCATTTGCTTCTCTTGTGACCAATTAATCTGTAGGTTTGGGTCCAAAGTATGCTTTCGCAACCAAGTGATGAAAAAAAAAACAATCTGGTTGGGGATGTCAATTGGTTGGTTCATACAAGTGAGTTGATTTGATTATTTAATTTCCTCTAAACAATACCTCTAATATTTAATGGTCAAGGATGCCATACCATATATACTGTTGGCACTTGTATACCACGTGCTTAGGCTGCCATAAAATGATTTGCCATTTCTGGCAAATGATGTAAATGATGACATAGAAAAGTAAAAAATTGCAGGAATAAACCTATGACATTCGCAACTTTTTCAAGTGAGGGATCTGTTTTTTGGTTGCAGCTGACAGTGTCATCACGTTGTGGGATCCTGGTAATAATATCACATTTGTTGGTATGATTAAAGAGGCACTATTTAGTGGTATGCTACTATCTTTGAAATGTTGTGGATGAAGCACTGTGAGTTGCTTGTGAGGAAGATCAAGCACATGGTTGCTGTAATTCTGCTTCTACCTACAATATCTTTTTAGATTTTTTTTTATCAATGAAGGATTCTCCTATTTTAGTAGTTAGTACCACATATTTTGTAGCAGTTTGGTTGAGGTCTTGATGAAAAACGAAACTCGAAAGTTCTCTACATATTCCCATCTTTGTTATATTAGAAATCATAACATTCTTTGCTTAATAGTCATTTACTCTGAATATTTCTATTTTTTGCTATAGTCCAAGCATTAAATGACCATGCTCTGATTTATAGTGTTTTCAAGAATGCCGAGCTATTGGAATTTCAAAAAAAAAAAAAAAAAAAAAAAAAAACTGTCTTTCTGATTTTGGGGCTATATTTTATTCATGTATTATAATTCCCATTTCTCCTTTGGTTGGGAACTTGTGATGTGATAGACTTTGGTAGTACATTTTTATGTTGCTTTAAGTGGAGATTGAGAATTGAACTTTGAGAATCATCTGCATTGCAAATATCACTTTGGTATTGCTGTTCTTACTCTGATTAAGTTTACAAAACGATGATTCTCATTGTATGCTGTGCAGGAGCTATTCAAGGCAAAAGAATAAATAAGATCCTATCGTCTTCAACGTGGTGCTATCATCCTTGGTCATCAGGGAAAACTCAGAAGACCATGAACCACTCCGGCCACTCATAGTAAGAAACATGATCATAACCCCATGCTAAGATTGGTTCTGTAAACCTAGATTTTTGTTTTAATCTATAATACCAACAAATTTGAGCCACAAAAAAATCAGTACGAAGAGATCATGCTTAATTTTGTAAATGGCTGACATTCGGAAAAAATGTTTGCCGAATATTTTATTGTTAGTACTATATATTTGTTTTCATAAGATTGGCGTGGCAAGAACCATAACCTTCTTGATGGAAACTCCATCTCTAGAATAGTATGGATTTGAAATTTGTGACATGAATCAGTAAGAGAATCAACTGCATTTGGAATATAATGGTCTATTATGTGTCACATGTTCAGTTTTGAATAAATTAGACACATTAAAGGCTGCAATTAAGATTTTAGGCACTAGATCATAAATTTAAGCACCAGATCATATTCAAACAGCTAACTGCTATCATGCCCTAGCCAATTCGGTTGTATGGATGCATTCAAAATTTCAATTCAGGTCAGTTCTGATCAAAGATGATTGGTAAAAAAGGTACTTCAAAAACATTGACCTCGTATTGACTGACGGCAGGATGAAAAGAATACTTGTGATATACTGGTGTAATAATTGTGGAGCGATGATTCACAAACAAAGGATGCTGTAGTTGCTTAAATGCATTTAAGTTGCGAGGACAGCAGGTATACATTTAAACTGTATTTGGATCAGTGATACTTTTAACAAACATGTAACATTGCAAACAAGAATTTACTTACCATTCGTTTCTATTTATAATGGCTCAACTTTTTTTTAGTCCGAAGATTTGCCTTCTAGATGCGATATCAGGATTGTGAATCAGGTCAAAAGCACTGCACCTGCGATGGTAGGATTTGCCAATGATGCCTTCATAACTAACTCGGAATCAAGTTTGTAGCTCCCATATATCACCAATTGCAGACGATAAACATTACACTGAAAAAAAAAATCGCATCCTACTTAATTAGGTACTGGCGCCAAAGCAAATTATGTGTCAATGTTGTCTTTGTTGATAGGAATGAAGGTATAACACATCAGACTGCTTAATCTGCGTTAAACATGAGAAACCTTTCTTATGGTCTTGTAATAGTTATTACAATAATAGAAATGTTGGTGGAAACAACTAATGGTTTAGATCTTAACTTGATGGGTGGTGGATGACACTGTTTTTGTAGTAGTGTTGAATTCTTGGTCTACTTTTGCTATTTATGAAAGAAATGCGCTAATTTTGTGAATTTTGTCTATCCTTTGCAGGACAGTGGTGGTGAACAGCGTGGCATTCATGACAATAGAGATAGGCAATGGCTGAGGTCAGTACTGGAGCCTTTGGAATTTGAAAAGGATGATTTCTTTCAAAAAAAAAAAAGATTGGGGACCAGTTCAAATTTGAACAAAATTATAAGGAAGCTTGGCTAAATAGGCATATACCTCGTACCTCCATCTAATGAGAGGAAAAGAAACTTACACAATGTCGAGCATTAATATCATTTTTGAATATATTTCTTCGATGGTACCATTGTAGTTTCATCTATTTTACGAATATATTTATATTGAAATTAGTGGTCAACAAATCAAGATGTTTTCCTGACCAACGAAAATGACAGGCTATTTAGAAAATGTTGAATTTATTACATAGTTCTGGACATCAAATGTTATCTATTGACACCAGCAATCTTAAATTTTATTCCTGTTATATATTATTTACCTGGCTAATTTCCAACTGTTTAAACAAATTTACCCAACATGTTGTCACTCTCTTTGCACCAACTGCGTACAGATTTAACTTGCTCTTATACCAAAATAATGAAACTCTCCTTCAATGATGTAAAATGATTGAAGGCAGAAAGTTAATGCTACACGGGAGCTAGCTAGCTACTACTACTCCAGAAGATACTGATTCCTAGCGGGCATGTGGAGTTGTACTACTAGTTAATTAATGGGGCATGTTCAATTAATGTTGGTCGCTGTGTGAAGTGGATCGGAGTAGTAGTATTTATATGGGCACCCAGCAGGCAGGGGAGGGATCAAAATCGAGCGCACACGTACTGTACTTACTGCCAGCCACTAACAAGAGTCAGACAATGGACTCAAAGAAGGTCGCGTATGCTGTTTTTATCGTCATTCTCCTAATGACGGAGGTAGCGGCCGCCGCTGCCGCTGGAGGCAGCGCCCGTGGGACTGGTGGTACAGGTACATCATCTTGTCATCTCTTAAGTAGTACTGTAGTATCGATCTTTTCATCTGCATATATATATATATATATATATATATATATATATATATATATATATATATATATATATATATATATATATATATATATATATATATACTGTCCTTACTTGTGCATATATGCTTTTTCTTTCTTCTTTTGTTTAGGTGATCGCGCCAACGATGAAGAGAAATTTATCTTTGGCCATCTGAGCAAAGCAATATTAATTTACATAGCCAGTCACTTCCCAGGTCACATTAAAGAGTGCGTCAACCACGTCGAAAACCAGTGTGGCTGGGCTCCGGCGCCTGGATGCCTGAAAGAGGCATTAGCCACATGCGCCAAATAAGGCGCCCGCTGCTTCGCTTCCTCTGGCGGTCTGGCCCCTCTCCGCATAAATAATTGTAATAAGGGGTCCTAGTGAATATATATATATATATATATGTGGTACTCACTGCAGTGAGTATGTATTATGTACTACTTATTATATAGTAATAAAATTTGAATAAAGTAATATTTGAGCCTGCAGATTTTGACTACCTGATATTACTCGGAAATGGAAAAGTCTAAAGTACGAAACTGCGTTTACGGAACATATACGAAGAACAAGTACGCGGCATACCTTTATTTTTTCTACAAATCTGTGTTACTGAGAAAAAAAATTATACATAGCATATGTAGCTGTCCAATCTCGAAACGAGTAAATCTAATTACTGCATGCTCATAGTACCATCGACTAGTACACAACTAATCACTAGTTAACGTGCACGTGCCAGACACGTCGACATATATTGAATAGAGTATTGTTTACACTAACAATGAAGAGGAGAGAAATATGAATTCAGTTTTGTAGAGGCTAGAAGATTCAATCCTGGATAAAAGAAACAATGCATATTATGAGATTTAAACTGAAAGGCCAAGTTAGAAAGTAGCGTAAAAAAATTAAAGGGAACATTTGAGATGTAAACAGAAATCTCACATTATTGTCCTTTATCTCAACATAACCACTTTACAGATACCCAAGCTGTAATCTTTGTTATACTCATGAAACTTGAGTACTTGAGGCAATCAGTAATTTCATCCACAATGGGCACCACCAGAAACTTGGCAAGTCCATAATGGGCGATGGCTGCGAAACGTGGGTGGCGGGTTACATCTTCAAATTTCGTCAAGGAACCTGTCAAAGTTCATCCATAAGCTTGTTACGGTTCTTAAAAATGATATTTTTGTCTAGAACATGTAACAGTTTTCCTATTGCAAAAAAACAGATAGAGAACTTGCAAATACCAAGTTGTGTTTTCATTAAAAAACGAGTTTGGTGATTGGGAGTAGGGAAGAAGACCAAGCTTAAAATGTGAATGTAATTGCAGAGAATGAAATTGTGGTGTAAGCATTGAAACTGCAAGCAAAGCACTAATTAACTCGAGTGTTACCTATGTTCTAATTCCATTACTAATTACATCCCCTTCACTGACCAAAACTCATATATAGTCAACCTTGAGCAGGATGAGCTGCTACAGACCCATGGAAGATGTGCTCCAATATGAAGGACCATCATAAGCAAGGTAGAGCTATTTGTTTTTTCTTCAATTTAGTGAGTCCTATTTTTAACTGTTTAGGATACTGACTGCCGCACCATGTAAATAAATTTAAGGGAAAAAGGAGGCAGGACAAGATGAGCATTTATAATGCAAACTATTAAAAATCACAATTCGTGGACATGTGCCATCAAATTTGCTTGGAAACTCTCTCTGCTAGTCTGATTCATCATTGTTAGTGTAAGAGCAGTTAGTGAGAATACATATGCTACCCGTGCAATCACATGGAGATAATAGAGAACATACTTGCAACACCGTATGCGATGACAGCTACGGAAGAGTCTCTCAGTGCAAGCATAGGGGGACAAAGCTTTTATACTCTATGCAACCCTGATACAAAAACAAAATAAAATGATCACACATAAAATCAATAATCAAGCATCTAGGAAACTAATCAGATTGTTAGCTGAAGCACAGGGGGTGCCATTCTTCCACCATCAGGATTTGATCTTCCTTGTCAACAAGCAATTATCCCACAGCGTGTACAGATCGAGTGCTAGCAACAAAACCTGGAGAAAGATTAGGGCAGGTTGGGGATGGTAGCTAACGGTGAGTACGGGCTCCGGTCACACCAAAATGAAGCAGACCAAGGCCAGCTTTCAGATTCCAGATGAACATATGGCAACTTTAATTTGGTCAGTTTTGCACTCCAATTATTGTGGATAATACTATAAATTAAATATTTTGAGAATAAACTTAACAAATAGTAGAGCTTAAAATAAATGGACTAAAAAAAATCAATTTCTGGAGCTATCCATATTCCACAGTAGGAACTAAATTCTAGATCACTCAACTCAACTCATATGTCATTTGCAAACATCTCGACCTTCTACATACAAATCTAGAGATCCACTTGTACTAATTCAAGTTCATTTGCCAAGCATATTAAACGGATAGCAAACGCCAAGAGGCTGTATGAAAATAGCCACGTATAGGCCCGGACATGAAAAATGTCACTCTTGCCCTTTCAGTCACGGCCCCACCTGTCATACTCTCTCACCTCTCTCTTTCCCCTCTTCCCCTCTTCCTCTTTATCTCGTGAGCACAGTCGGAAGCAGCGGTGGCCGACAGCCGGCGGCGGGCACGACGAGGGCGCGGCGTGGCGAGGGTGCGACGGGCTGTTGCCACTTATTTGAAGGTATATTTAATTCAGAGATGGTGCATGTCAAAATAAATTAACAAAAAAACATTTTTCTGTTGTTTGTAATTCTTTCTAGGCCCTCCACAATTAATTGATTGAGAATTTCTATTTTAACACTTATTTTCAGGTTGGGAGTGAGGTTCAAAAGGCTTACGGCAAAGGAATGCCAAAATCAGAGTATGCTTGGGATTTATATTGCCTCTAAAATTGCATTAATTATTCTATGGATTTTTCAGTGTGTTACTTCTTTTAACTGCAATAGCAACCTATAAATTCTTTTAACTGCAACAGCCATAATCCTATTTTCTGGTTCTATGAAGGATCTTCAAGGATTGGAAAACTATAGCAGGTGATAATGCACTGGATTATGCAGCAGAATTTTCACATATGCTTGGGTTTGATGGTGTCAAAATGCTTGGGTTGATGCAACTATGTGTAACAAAACATGTAATTTATTCCATCTTGTTTAAATTTCTATATTTTGTTTCTGAAAGACTCGGTTTGATTTCTTTTCCCTCATACAGACCTGGTTTCTTCCAGTGATCATGAAGGTCAAAATGTCAGTGCTCATACTGGAGCAGAGCCATGGTCTAGTTATAGGCCATTAGCACCGTTTATATTGAGGGTAACTGGTGTGGATTTGAGATGACTTTCCTTACCCATATGCTCATGTTATATAATACGTACATGATAGCAAAGGAGCTATATATATATATATATATATATATATGTATATATATATATATATATATATATATATATATCATGTTATATACTACGTACATGATACCATGCGTTTAAATAATTCAAATAAATATCTATGTCCTCCGTTGTATCTACTGGTCACTTTTTATTTGGATGGTGGATTGTAAGAATATGCTTTCTTGTTACACTTCCAGCCTAAATGGCAGTCATGTCATGAATTAAGCTTAGCGCCATTAATCTGTTACCTAATTTGCCATACACGTATAACACGACCTATTCTATTGCGATGATATTTTACTTGATAGGCTGCACAAACTGGCAAACAACAACTTGGACCTGCTTGATGTGCTAAACAGTACCATGAACATTCGGTTTCCATAATGTGTAGGTTAGCATTATCTTGTTCTAGCTAATCCAAAGACATGTGATTATCTAATGTAGGCCTTTAATTTTTTTTTCAAAAATGTTCTCAGATGACAAAAGAAAAAGATTTAGATCGTCGTCCCGGTCCTGTAGAATATCTCAAATGGGCTGCGATATATTTTTCTAAATGAAGATAGTCCCAGAACATTGGGGGATAGTAATGATATACCAAAAGTAAAATTCCCGTTACATATTTATAACGAACGAAAATTGAAAGACCCCAAAAAAAAATTATATATGTGGAAGAACTTGTTGTCTCAAGCTCCGTTTCACCCTACAGGTCATTGGGAGAACATCCTCTCTATCTTTTATTGTCATGGCTTTGCAACAACTAATGTGATTTAGTAGCTATTGTATGCGATCCATGGAATGACTGTACGCGTGCACCTGTCTCGACATGCCATCAGATGTTAGCATATATGTCTAGCTAGACGCACCAATCCTTTCCGTGTAACTATATGGCCAAAGAGTTCTAGAAAAGGCGTAACCATTGGCATCGTTAAAATTAAAGGTTGAGTTCCGAGAAAATTTCAGACAATATTTTAGGGATGGCGAATCACATGAAAATACTCCAAACATGGTTTATTCAAGGAAAGTTTAGTTCCCTCCTTTACTTTACATGTCAAATGACTTGCACATTAATATAAATTCTATAAATGATTAATTAAATAACTTCCAGTCCAAAAGAAAAACTCATGGCCTGACCGGTCATCACACGACAATGGTGTATTATGTACTAAAACTCGCATTTCTGAAACTTTTGTATAGGCTTGCGAAACAAAATGTTTAGCTTAATTTGTTAAAACAAGATCCATTATTTTCGTCAGGCCCAATATCAAAAATTAAAAAAAATGATGAAATCAAATGTATGTATTATATTGCCTTAATATGGTGTTGTTCTCTAACGAGGAAAAAGATTGTTTCAGTCTTGCACTTAAAAGCTATACTTTTCAAATCGGAACCTTCGATATTGTATTCGTGAAACAACATACCTGTAAACTCATCGATGCAACACATTGGTGCAACATGTCAAGGCAATAACTGAAACATATTTTTTACGCTAGAGAAACATGTATAATATCATCACTGAGGGTACCGGTTTGTAGCTATTCAAAAGCAGCGTGCCTTGAAAGCGGAGAATTAGTTTTGTTTGGAAGAGTTTAGCGTGGCCGCGTGCCTTTTGTGTTCTCTTTGGCTCTGTCATAGCAGTAGGACTAGGAGTAGATGCACGTGTATCGTGGTGCCCTAGTTGTTGCGTTTTCCAAGAGAGCATGATCACAGGGCACGCACCGGACGCGCGGAAGGAAGCATGAACTATATCTATGTACTAACATTGCACGTACTCAAAGTGGAATATGAGACCGAATGTTAAAAGACAAAGCACAACTGGAACTATTTTAATCAATTAAAGATAACAAATGCTTTTAGTAACAATATTGGGTAGAACAACAGACCAGATCGATCACATAGAAGTTATGAACACCAAATAATGAAACAATTGAAGAGGCAAAAGGAACAACAGGACAATGTAATACAAGGCCGACCGCTGGGTGGGAACCATTAATGGGTATCGTCCCTCGATCATGGATGAAGGAACAGATGTGCAGCTCGACACAATCATGCACGTGCGGGAACACTAGAAGCGCCACCTTTCGCTAAGTGTCCATTGAGTTCCTTAGCATCGACGATGCAACTGTCTACGCACTTCTTGTTGGTGGCAGGATCCTCCTTAAATTCTTTGCTACACCCCTCATTGCACAAAGCGCTGAATTGCTCCATCGAGGGCTTCATTCCTCTCTCCAAGGCCCCAAAAAGTTCCCTGTTCGTGAGGATGCAGATGTCTACACAGTGCTTGTGGTCGATGGTGCCTTCTTTTTCCTCGTCGTTGCAATGCTCTGAGCACACAGCTTCTTCTATATCCTTCTCTTCGGTGGCTCGTACTACCGCAACCACCGCCACAAGGGTGGCAAGGAGCAGAGCCATGGTCTTGTTCTGGGCCATTAGCACCGTTTCTATTGAGGGTAACTGGTGTGGATTTGAGATGACTTTCCTTACCCTGATGCTCATGTTATATACTACGTACATGATAGCAAAGGAGCTATATATATATATATGGGGCTGGGAGAGCTTCATGGACCACCAATGAGGCTAATTATATGCATGTTTGTCATCTTTGGTTGCTAGAGATGCGTTCCTTATGACCAGAGAGTGATGAGGTTCTCATGGCATGCGTGCATGCGTTTAAATAATTCAAATAAATATCTATGTCCTCCGTTGTATCTACTGGTCACTTTTTATTTGGATGGTGGATTGTAAGAATATGCTTTCTTGTTACACTTCCAGCCTAAATGGCAGTCATGTCATGAATTAAGCTTAGCGCCATTAATCTGTTACCTAATTTGCCATACACGTATAACACGACCTATTCTATTGCGATGATATTTTACTTGATAGGCTGCACAAACTGGCAAACAACAACTTGGACCTGCTTGATGTGCTAAACAGTACCATGAACATTCGGTTTCCATAATGTGTAGGTTAGCATTATCTTGTTCTAGCTAATCCAAAGACATGTGATTATCTAATGTAGGCCTTTAATTTTTTTTTCAAAAATGTTCTCAGATGACAAAAGAAAAAGATTTAGATCGTCGTCCCGGTCCTGTAGAATATCTCAAATGGGCTGCGATATATTTTTCTAAATGAAGATAGTCCCAGAACATTGGGGGATAGTAATGATATACCAAAAGTAAAATTCCCGTTACATATTTATAACGAACGAAAATTGAAAGACCCCAAAAAAAAATTATATATGTGGAAGAACTTGTTGTCTCAAGCTCCGTTTCACCCTACAGGTCATTGGGAGAACATCCTCTCTATCTTTTATTGTCATGGCTTTGCAACAACTAATGTGATTTAGTAGCTATTGTATGCGATCCATGGAATGACTGTACGCGTGCACCTGTCTCGACATGCCATCAGATGTTAGCATATATGTCTAGCTAGAAGCACCAATCCTTTCCGTGTAACTATATGGCCAAAGAGTTCTAGAAAAGGCGTAACCATTGGCATCGTTAAAATTAAAGGTTGAGTTCCGAGAAAATTTCAGACAATATTTTAGGGATGGCGAATCACATGAAAATACTCCAAACATGGTTTATTCAAGGAAAGTTTAGTTCCCTCCTTTACTTTACATGTCAAATGACTTGCACATTAATATAAATTCTATAAATGATTAATTAAATAACTTCCAGTCCAAAAGAAAAACTCATGGCCTGACCGGTCATCACACCATCGTGTTTTGTTCAATCTCTACTGCGTACCATCACCATCAGCAAACCGTTAGTTGCCCTCCGTTTGGAGCGTTGATTTTTCTCTTAATGCCTGAAATGCCCTTTGATTAATTGACTAAAACCCTAGCCCAAATTTCCTAAATCCTCACCGCCGCCGACCAGGCGCCGCCCTCCCCGTCATCCAGCCACCACGACTCCACCGCCGGCATCCTGGCGCCGCCGCCCACCATGCCTCCACCGCCAGCATCTTGGCGCTGTCGCCCGCAGCGCCGCCGCCCTTCCCTTTGTCCGCCCACTAGGCCTCCACCGCGGACATCCTGGCCCCGTCGCCCGCCGCGCCGCCGTCCTCCCCGTCGTTCACCACCACGCCACCACCGCCGGCATCCTGGCGCCGCCGCCCTCCCCTTCCTCTGCTCACCATGCCTCCACCGTCGGCGTCCTGGCGTCATCGCCCACAGTGCTGCCACCCTCCCCGTCATCTGCAGCGCCGCCGCCCTCCCCGTCGCCCGCAGCGCCAGCGCCCTCCCCGTCCTTTGCCCACCACGCCTTCACCGTCGGCGTATTGGCGCCGTCGCCCGCAGCGCCGCCGCCCTCCCCATTCTCTACCAACCACACCTCCACCGCCGGCGTCCTGGCTTCGTTGCTCGCAGCACCGCTGCCTCGTCCAACCGCCCACCGCCCCTCCACTTCCGGTGTCCTAGCGCTTCCATCCCCATCACTGTCGTCCCCGACGCCACTGCAACCGTCGTCCCCAGCGCCGCTGCAACCGGTCGCCCACCGCCAGCAAGGAGCTGGCCTTCCTTATGACAACAAGGAGGTAGCCATGCCTGTAGAATGGGCTAGGGGCAAATAGGTCTTTTTAGAGCTCTAACAGAGGTTAACTAGACAGTGATGGCACATAGTAGAGGTTGAACAAAACACGGTGGTATATTATAGAACTTTACAATGTCAGTGGTAGATTGTAGAAGGGTGACAAACTCAGTAGTACTGAGTGCATTCTCTCTTGTTTTTTCCCTTTCACTTTTGTTTTTCATGTAGTACAAGAAAAGAAGATAAAACATTTGATGGATTGTAAATAACATTGATGGAGTAACTAATGAGAATTAATCATGTATAAGATGTAAAAGTTACTTCCTGATAACATGGAAGTTACTTCCTAACATGTAATAACTTACTTTTAAATTAATAAAATATTTGAATATATTTAATATGGATCTTGTTTTATCGCATATTTTAAGTGGAGCACAATGGTGCAAATAGATTTTCAAAACAATATGTGATTTAAAATATATAAGTTATTAAAGAGGTTAAAAAAGACACACTATCGTATTTTTCAAGTTGAAAGGAGACACTAGATGGAGTGGCTACCACTAGCTATGTAGTCACGTCCATTGAAAAAAGGCATGCATTAAAGCTACTTCTTTTTATAAGTTACTCTATAATATATGTAAATTACTTTTATTTTTTATTAATTTACTTTTATACGTCTAAGAAGTAATTTAGTGAAATCTAAAAGTAATTTAGATATATTATAAAAGTAATTTACAATTTTTCATCAAAATATAATCACGTGAGATCTTGTTATAAAGATTTAATTGTTACGAACACAACGGTGTAATCGAATCGTAGATCGGATGAGTAGTTTAAGAGAAAATTTTATTTGAAGTATAGGTGGATAGGATCTCTCATAGATGGAGTGAGACAAACCAGTTACCACTAGTTGTGTAGTCACGTCCAAATTGATAACCTCAAAGTTTTATATATATAAGAAATAGAAAAATTACATAAACAAGGTATCTTACACTTATAAAAAAAAATCATATAAAGTAAACATCATGCATGGTACATTTTGTTATCACCTAATATATCTGCCCTAATATTCGTGCAAACTACATATAGTATGTAGATAGATTGTGAGGACATGTGAACTCGCGTGAAAAAAAAAATCCAACTAAGAATTTTATTAACTGTTGCCGAATACGAATATCTCGTTGGCCATCCATGCAGCAGTCGGGCTGGGCCGGCCCAGCCTAGACCAGCCCACCAGGAAGAGGAAACTGAGTCAGAGTCAGACATGGGCTGCCTCTAATATACAGTGCATCGAGCCCGAATATGATCCGTCTAATTACACGTTACTTCCTCCGTTTCATATTATAGGACTTTCTAGCATTGCCCACATTCATATAGATGTTAATGAATCTAGACACATAATGTGAAATGGAGGGAGTAGTAAAAATATGTTTCCTAGAATCCACCCAATTGAGCTTTATTTTGATCTAGGTCAGATATTAAGGCAAAGTACAGTGATATTATATTATCTAAAATATTAATTCAAAACCATCAATAATCATATTTAATCACTTCAATACCAATATATTAGACAATGTACATCCACACTTCCACAAAAAATGGTTGAGAATAAAGTACATGTTCCAAGCAATTCCACGATTTCTGAATCATTAACACACACGGAGCTGGCAAAATGGAGCTGGAAAAATCTAGAAGTATCACACATTGACACACCACTACAATTATAGGATAGATGAAATGAATACATTGTGAAACAACAGTCATCACTTCTTCATTTTTCCATCTCTATCATTCAGTCAAGCATATTTGATCCCTTCTATAGATTTTTATAGACTTCTATTTTGTTATCCTCTCCTGCAGTAAGCTGTGTGCATCTTTACAAAGATCAGTGCTCTCAGGGTCACTTGCTTTCGTAAGACGCAATTGCATACGTCTTAGAGTGATTGTCAAAATAAAAGAGTTTAGTAAAAATGTTAATTAGTTATGTAAAAATAATAATTGTCTTATAGAGTAACTCACATGCTACAGGGATATAAATATATTTGTATTACTTAGCAAGTATAGCAGTGCAGAATATGGTCAAGAGAATAAATCAGGGATCATGAACGGTTCAAAATGTGCCATCAATGGGGCTATCCTATATTTCCTGAAAGAGTCATCCACTGTTTTTCCTTTTTGATAGCAGTCAATGACACAACGACAAAATGTTCAATGGGATAAAAGAGTACCAATAGGATTAAACTGTTTTTTTACCATCATGTTTTTACAGTGAGTAACGAGACCAAAACTCCAATTGGTTAATTAGTACGTACCAATTAGAGAAATCTTCAAAAAATGAACCAAAACTCCCCGCGATTACCTTCCACAATTCCACCTTTTCTTCTCTACACAAGCCTGAAACAGAGTAAACATTTGTTTTCACATGGAAAAAATTCCATCAGGCAGTCGGCCATAATGAGAAAGAGCATCCAATCAAGCTATGTATCATTTTTGCACTGCACTAAATATCAGAGATTTGCAGCATTTTTCACTGCACTAAATATCAGTAATGTAAAATATTATTAAAAAGGAAGCTTAACATAAACTTGTTAGTTTTTCTTTGAATGAATAAACTTGTTAGTTCTTACGTACATACTACATACCAACGAAAATAAGGGAGGACCAGATGTGCATTCAGTGATGGTGGCAGTGTAGGAGCCTATTGTGTAGGCGGCTGACCGTCTGTCTTCGCATTGTGGCAGGTAGTCATCGCCTGATTTCATGAACCTGAGCAGTTTAAAAATGAAGAAATATACATCGCTTCAGAAGCACCAGAAAATAAGATAGAATGAACCTGAGCAGTTTAAAAGTAAACATCGCACATGGTACAAAAGCAGAAATCAATTAATTTCCGGGAGATATAATGAGCATTGCACAAAGCAATGGTTGAAAGGCATTATAATCATACAGTCCATTTTGTCAGATATTTTTAATACATACACATATTTGTCTATTCGATATATAATTCTAATCATGGAAGTGTATATTTCATCGTCGATAATTAACTCACTTTTCCTTAAACTAACTCTAGAAAATCCCAATAATTAGAATCTAATCAGAATCTGCTTGCAAGTATCGGGTTTTTCATTAACCAATCAACCAATCGCAGCAGAGGAAATTTAGGGGGAGAGGATAAACCAAGGCAATTTCCGCCTTACCTTCTGCGCCTTATCACGATGCGAACAAATCGATTTGTCAACTACAGTACAACACTAACTACCTCATCCTGATGAAGGCATGAAGCAGAGAAGAGAATCTGAATTTATTCAGACATTAAACATCTGATTTTTTTTCATAAATTCACTAATAAACTGGTAAGTTGTTCCTTTAGAGTTTAGACAATACATTGAAAGTGCTTGCACATTACTAATGCATGGCATTTTACATATTCAGGTGTCATGAATAAAAATGTAAACCAAATTTGACTTTTTAAAGGGAAAAATTATCACTGCACAAATCAGAACTTTCCATGTGGTTTAATAGAGCACAATTCCACCATTGAAGTAAAATCTCATTATGTATATAACCTTCGGTACACATCACAGAAACTGTATACAACGGAAAGTAAAAGAAACTCTCAATATTGGCATCATGATTTAGATAATAAAATTCTTCTTTTAACTTGGATGTCAATTTGGATGTTGATCTCTTAAGAGAGCACACAACATGTCTATCAATTTAATTGGTTTCCTGGGTTATGTTGTTGACCAAGCAATGAAGTTCAAAAGAAATTATCTAAATTTTCAGATATAAACATCCCAATAACGACTTACCTTGTTGGCGAGCGGATCGCAGCCTGTGCGAGGCCAGTGCCGGGGTTGAGAAATCCGACCACCGGGACTTGGAATCTCGAACTCGCACGTGGCCAGAGGAAGGGGCTGGTGCCGGGGTCAACCGCGAAAACAGGGCGGCATCACTAAGGCCAGATCGGAGCAAGAGGGAGGAGCGCCAAAAATCAAATGGAAGACATCAAACCCAAATCGTGCTTATAACTTATTTAAACTGTATAACTACGAGAATCCAGTTTGTGAGTATTTTTTAAGCTCTGTTGAACACATGATAACATCATAATATTGTATTCACATCATCACAATACATGATCTATTTAAATTGAGAAAATAATTTACAGAACCAAAAGCTGGTCTGCACCTGAATTGCCAGCATCACTTGTTTCAATCCAACATAACAGAATGACCAGCACGCATGTTTATTGTACTATATAAATTTACACCCTACTTATCAAAACCCAAGACATCATAACCTACTCTCATTCTTCAGTAAAATTAGCAACCAGAAATTAAATGGGCATCCCACAAAGGAATTTAACCTTCTCACATCACAAGAACATGCATATAATTTCATATGCAAAAATTGCAAAATATTATATCCATGTGAATTAAATTCACTCTTCCAATATAGCAAGCAAGGTGTACACCTCAGAACAAGTAACAATGAGTGTAACACATCAACAGAGGCGGCTTATCACCATATTGGGTTCAGGAATGATCTCCTCTAGATGGTAGATTGTCTAACATTAGTCAATTGACGGGTGACTTCAGAGGGAATTCATCTGAAACAAAAGGCTGTTGGCTCTTGTTAAATACTCCATTGTTGTTCTGATGGTATTTGCAGCCGCAACCAACTAAAATATTCCCTAATTGCTCCTTGAGCAAACAACTCCCAATCCAATCCACAGAACATTCAATCCTGACCAAGCGATTGTGATGGGACACTAACCGAGCAGATGAATTATAGAACTAAGTAACAGAGTACATAATTAAATTTGAGGGAAAAGGGGTACCCTCACACGCTTGCGTCCTCACGGCCGAGGAGCTTGACCGGAGTTCTTGTCTTCGGCGACATTACCTGAGACGCCGGGAGCTCGTCGGGCCCGAGTATCCTCCCTGGCCACCATGACCCGTTCCGTCGCCGGGGATCATCGTGTGGGTGCGGTGACGGAACGGTGACGTAAATCCTGGACGACGACGGATGCGACGACGGTGATGGGGATTGGTTGAGGGCGAGCCGGCGGCGGGGATCGGTGGCGGCGAGACGACGGATGCGACGAAGGCGGAGCGGCGGCAGTCGAGGGTGGCGGCGACGACGGCGGAGCGGCGGCAGTCGAGGGCGGCGGCGACGACGGATGCGACGATGGGTGACGGCGGAGTGGCGGCAGTCGAGGGCGGCGGCGATGGTGGTGGCGCGGGGATCGGTGGCGGCGAGACGACGGATGCGACGACGGCGGAGCAGCGGCAGTCGAGGGCGGCGACGACGGCGGTGGCGCCGCGTGAGAGGGAGAGATTAGGGTTGGGGAGCGGCGCGCGGTTGGGGAGGGGCGGGGACGCGTGAGAGCGAGAGAAAGGGGGCGGAGAGGAGGGCGCGGTGGAGAGGTGGAGACGATCCTGAGCGTTGGATTTTACACAGAGATGATCTGGACCGTTCCATGAGTAATGAAAGAATGAGTGATGAGTGAAGAGAGAGAGAGAGAGAGAGAGAGCTTCGCAGGCGACGATGGCGAGCGGCGGCGTGGTGAAGAAGGAGATCGGCGGGAACCACGACGTCGTCCGCTTCGGCGTCAACGACAGCGTCAAGGGGGACCTCGCGCCGCCGCACCCGCTCCAGGCCAGCGTCCACAAGGTCTTCTTCTTCTTCTTCTTCTTCTTCTTCTTCTTCTTCTCCCCCCCTCTCGCCCTCGAAACCCTAGCTAACACGCTGAATCCCCGCCGCGCGCGCAGGAGGCCAAGTTCTGGGCGGACAAGAAGAGGTTCGGCGCGGAAGCCATCTACGGATCCGCCTTCAACATCCGCAAGGATCTTGATGCCCAAATCCTCTCCAAGTAATTCACTGTCCTATCCCCATGTAATTTCCGCTGCAATACCACCATCTGTCCAAGTTGATAGATAGGCACTAGTAGTTCCATCTGAGCAGGCAGTATTACATGTCTTGTTGGAACTGTTAGGTCCGTAAACTTAAGTGGGCTGGCTTATTATGGGCACGAGATATGCATATTTGAATTCGATGTGGTTTATATCCTCCCTGTGTTTGTTAAGATTGCCCTTGCAGTTAGCTCGTTTTTTTTTTTTTTTTGTGTGTGTGTGTGTGTGTCTAGTTGTAAATCTGGTAGTAGCTCTTTGCATTTACTGCAAGTCTGCAACTCTTTTCCTATGTGCGTATTATATCAGTGATGTTATTGTTGGTGGTCATCAGTTGTATTCTGCTGACAGTGTGCAAATTCCTTCTGAAACTTCTTGTTATATACGCCAATTTTCCTGGTTAGAATAGTTGATTCTCAAAATATTGTGCATGTGTAGTATTTTGAGCATCTCCACATATCGATATGCTCAGGTTACTAAGATTTTGTTGATGCTTTGTATGTTCTAGTATGGATCACTCAGAATGCTTGAATCCCTTGGTCTGGTTGAATTCACAGTATCTTGATGTTGTTTTTGTTTGTCTGCCCCTTCTAGTAACAATTAGCACATCAATACACTGCAAATAGGAGAAAAACAGCACGCACAACTCATCTCCATTGCTTTTAATTGGGCAGGCTAACATGAAAGATGTTTTGATTGATGATTTATCTGTTGCCAGGTTCCAAAGGCCCCCTGGTGCATTGCCGTCATCTATGCTAGGATATGAGGCACTGACTGGTTCCTTAGATGATTTTGGGTTTGAAGATTATCTTAACTGTAAGGATTGCTGTCCTTTGATTTCCCCTGAATCTTATTGCTTGCTTTTCACATTTCTTTGCAACTATTTGGGAACCAACTTTTGCTTATTTATTATATTCATGTTTATGTTCTTTATTGGAGTCAGGGAGTGCCACCAAAGTTCTATTTACCTTCATATGAATTCTTGTTTGTTTACTTTTAACAGGGCAAAATTGTGTAGTCGTTTTTCTCGAACATAAAACTATGTAGTCTTGTGGCATCTTGGTATTGGTAGTTTAGAAGTTCTTGGAAAACAAAGGGTCATCTTGATAGATTTTTGGTGTTAGGATGTACTACCTCTAGACTCTAGTCAAATTTATTCGGCGTTAGAAACAATGCCAAATAAATTTGGCTGGAGGGAGTACTTGAAATAATAATAATTATCTCAAATTGGTTGTTTTATTCCGTCATCATGATATCCACAAATTATATATTTTGCTTCTGTCGGTGCTTTGAGCTTGGTTTGGCTTTACTTTCCATGCAGAACTTACATCTCATCACCATTCATTAATGCTGATTTATACTAATCACCACAAAATACAGCCGATATAGACTATATTTCAGTTCCACCGCCCTTGCGACAACTTTTTTCTTGTCAAGTATTTACTCGTCCTATTGTTACTTATAAAGAAGAAGAAAAATAAGGATTCAAGCACCAAGAAGCAGCCGGCGAGGGAGGCCGCTGCTGCGAACAGCGAGTCGAGGGCGATGGTGGCGGAGAGGGAGAAGGAATACGACCGGCTGTCTAAGTTCCTCGTGGTCTACCTCAATGCTATTTGAGACGCTGCGGCCTCCGAGGATGGCTGGGTCCTGGGACGTGGAGCTCTGGAATTGCTGCTCGGCGGCACCGCCTACACACAAGCGACAAGTGCGCCACAAATCTCTCTCTCGATGCAGCAAGTGCAGCGGAGGGAGCTGCAACTGGTCGCCGTTTCTGCCATGCTGATAGATTGCAAGTACGAGGAGATTTGGGCCCCAGAGGTAGCAACATTTTATCCCCTTTGCTCTGCACTGTCCATTTCTAGCAGGGACTTGTTCTGATTGGATCTCTGTGTATGTATTTGCAGGTGAACGACTTCATCTTCATATCAGATAGTGCATACACTAGGGAACAGATTCTTGCAATGGAGAAGGGGATTCTGAATAAGCTTCAGTGGAATCTCACCATTCCTACACCATATGTCTTCATTATGATGCTATCTGCGTCTGCAGATAACAAAAGTGACAAGGAGGTAAAGAGCCATGGCTTTTGTTTGTTTCTGTTTACCACCAGATTATATTTCATTGCTAAGCGACAAGTTTAAGCGTGTACTCAAGATTTCTTTTGGTGAATGCTGATGGAGCACATGGCCTTCTTCTTCGCTGAATTGGCACTGATGCAGTACGGGCTGGTGGCATATGCCTCTGCTGTCTATGCAGCCAGGCCCAATCCTCGTCATTTCTATATATGAAGAAATTGCTGGATCCATCCTCTCGGCTAACTAGGACGTTGTTCCACTAGATCTCCATTATTCCTAGTGCAGGTTCGTCACTTTGTCCCCAATCGAGCTAATTCTCTTTCCAATCATTATTGTGATTATTGCAGATTTCTTTGTGGCCCAGTTATCAATTTTCAACAGATTTCAGTATCCGAATCTGCTCCTTCTTTCCGATACAACAATATTTGGACTAGCAGATTAACTACTACATTTCGCTGAACTAGCTCCTTCGGTTTCATCACAGGTTTATTTGGATTACATAATCCCCTATCGGTTTAGTTCCCTTTATTGTTGAACAATTGGAGATAATATCTTTCACGGTATGGACAAACACTAGAAATCTGTTTTTTAATTGCTAACTATGCAATTCCTACATACGCTAATTTGTTTTCCATTTTCCTGTTTTGTTATTATTCATGTTATTTTTGCAACAATCCAGCAGCTTTGTATTTCATACTGGTGTTCGTATTTTTTAATTGTACCAGGGAAACTCTGAGCAGTTATCTTCTTCACTTAATCATTGCAGATAATTCGTACCACTGAGCAAAATTCAATGATGCAATTATTTTATATGCAACTCATTTGGTGAACAAGATGTATCTTGTGGCAAACAACGAGATGAAAAGTTACTTGATCCTTCAGGCATACCTGTGATTTTCCAATCTATTCTTTGCACGTTCTTGGAAAGATTGGTTGTCCCTGATAGCTGTCCGTAGTGATTCATGGATACTGTGTGGCATTTTACTTTGGGGCTCATTTTGGATTTGATAAAGAAGTCAGGTTTGCTCCTAATTCAATTTTTTCCCTGTTGATTTGCACCACCTTTTCTCAAGCCTGTCATTTTAATTATATATGCTCTACCACTCTACTAATTAATTCTCACTCTGTGTGCAAGGATGTGTGGTAGTGCAGTCACATACTTACATGTTGTGAGTCTAGATTATTTTAGTGACACATATCATGATTTACAATCTGACAACGAATCATTCTAAAATGATTTGCTCCATTAACTGTCTTAATTATCACGAACCCAGATTTGGTTTGTCACAATATTAACTCTTGATAAATCCTTTCACGTAAATCAACAGACTACACTTTGTTAAGTCCGCCTCCCAAAGAAATTTTGCTACCTTCTGTCCACACCTCTAAACAAAACCACCTATGATAGCTAAAAAAATACCAATCCGAATTAAGATAATAAGTTTAGCCGTCACCATCTTCTCAAATTGCTTTTTGCCCACATAATTAGTCAGAGTGATCAGCTGAATGCTTTTCCCACTCAGCAGTGCTCTAAAATGTTACTGACAAATTCATTTTGCCAAACAAATTTAGTTCATTTACATTCCAGAAATGTATATGTCCTATCAGTTGAACATACTTGCAGGGATTATTCCTTGAGTCCTTGTCTCCTTGAAGTTAGTTGTTATTGTGCCAATGTTGAAATATTCAGTATATTTGCTGAATTTTCATGCTTTATTGCTCTGCAAACCATGGTTCCTGATTTCTACTCTGTGTACTATTTTGGTTCAGACTGGTTAAATGTGTTGGAGTACTTCAATTTTTACTGTTTCATGAGTTCAAAATATAAATTAATCATTCCAGTGAAGCATCGTACTGTGCTATTCTGAGTTGTATGCTGCAAAGGTTAAATTGTGCCTCCATCCACTTTCAAACTGAAATTATCACGGAAGAATGTACAGCAAATATTCTCTTCACCTATCTTTTCTGAAGTAGGAATGTGTCCTAATCCAGTTTCACTTTTTACCCTGCTGCTCTGAATAATCAACAGAAAGAGATGTTCTACTGCTTTGTACTTCATCTCTGGCTGCTACTAGCACTCTGAAGAATCACCCTGAGCTTATCACCCGTCATTTCCTCTCTCTCCTTTCTCTCTGTCTTGGTTGAAATTACATTTTGATTGGTTCTTTGACAACTGTGGAGCAGATTGCCAAGAGAAGGTCAGCTCATCTGCTGAAGTATCCTACTGTGACGATTATAAGCCCTGGGATCAGTAACACTAGAGTCCATTCAAGACTCCATAAGTAATGCCATGGCAGATGTGCATATTTGCTCTTAATATAATAAACACCAGTTGTGTACCTTCGGATAATTTATATTGCAGTTTGTCAAGAACATAGCTAAATTCTAATTGAGAAAGGAAGTTCTGCATTGAACGGATCACAGTTCTTATGATTTAGTGTAAATGATTCAGTCAGGCCGTGCATTTTCCATAGTTCATTTTCAAAAAAACCTTGTTCTTTAATGGGTCTATCTGTAAATGCAGAGAGCACATACCTTATTCAAATAATCAAGATAGATCAGATTATTTTCCTTTTGATAAAATTTATCGAGTTAAATTCAAGCCAGATAGACCCACGGGAAGTTTATATATGATGTGTGTAGTATGCATGAAACTTAGGATGTAGGTTTTCTTAGTAAAGTTACATCCTACAAAATAATGTTCGGATACACTACACTTTCCACATTCGCATACAATTACTAATTAAAAAAAGATGTTAGCACCACAACAGCCCACTGTATTGTTTGCAAACAAACACTTCATAGCCACAATTACTACAGGTGGAAAAAAAAAACTACCTCATCTTTATTAACCCCCACCTTCTTGCACATACTCTGCATCCACTACTTATCAAAACTACAACTTTTAGATTTGTTAACTATGTCTATAAAATACTATATCCGTCTAGGAATGCGCCTTGGATTCTATGTATTATCAATGCAATATTTAAAACTTATAATTACATTTTTACAACTATTCATATACGAGTTCTATACACTCAGTGCTAGGTCCTAACAGAATGCTGAGGCCCTCAAGTTCAAAAGATTATCACAGAGCCGGCAACAACTCATTGATTGGTCAGTAAAAATAAAGGTAAATAAAGAAGCGTATTCAGTATTGGAAAACGTGCAAACAAATACTTATTATACATATTTTCAAAAAAAAAAGCTATGAAAAATTACCATCTTTCAAGTAAAGCAACAATTCTTAACTTAAAGAAAAACTTAAATATTTATCGATAACAGTACAAACCTAATGTAAAAAAAAGTTATAAATCAATTTATTCAAATTTGTGACAACTCTCACGGCACGCCGCGCAACCACATCTAGTAGTTTATATGGGCACTTGACCTCCCTAGTACAAGGAAATAATCATTATTTCTCCCTAATTAAGACTTTCCTTGTTGAAAAACTTTCCAAATCTCTAATCCTTGATTGTGTTGTTGCTGCTTGCTGCGCATGTGCCTGGCTTCCATCTTTGCTGCTTGCTGCACATGTCGCCCCACATGACACCTTCACTCTTCTTAGAGCAGATACAGTAGCAGACTATAAGCCAGCTATAAACATATTTGAGGAAGATAAAAGAGGAGAGATAAGAGCAGATAAAAGAGGAGAGATTAGAGCAGCGGGCTATTAACACTTCTTTTGTGTTAATTCCCATCAAGACTTCTTTTGTGGCTGGCTATTAACTGTGTTATGGACTATGCACAGGTTTCAAAGGAGCATGGGGGTTTCATGAGATTTATCCAGGTTTCTTGCCTAGGAGCATCGGCCTCTTCTTCTAGAATGCTGAGGGCCAAGGCTGCTGGGGAAGAATCTGTGTTGAAGGAATTTCCTGAGGTGATCATCTGCATTAGGCAATACTGAACTTCTGTTTCTATACTACCCAAAGTTAGAAGCAAACATGTCCCATTTATGTTGGCGGTTACTTTAACCAAACTTCTGTGTTGCATGGATCAACAGGCTACAATTATGAGGCCTGCAACTATGATTGGCACAGAAGATCGGATTTTGAACAGATGGGTACAGTTTGCTAAAAATTGATTCCCGGTCTACAAAGTAATTGAGCTTTCCTGTTGGCTGTTGTCGTAATCCCTTGACTCAAAATTTAGTCTAGAACATTAATTGATCAGAGAATACAGGCCTCATCATTTGCCCTATGGCTTGATTTGAATTTTAAAACTTGATTTTGAAGTTGGTTTTGATGCTTTTACAACGTAGTTTCTTTTTCAGCATTAGCTTTTATTTAAGCCACTAAGGACACATGTAAAAGTTTTACTCATAAATTACTTTTTTTATCACTAATAAGCCATTACGGCTTTTAATCAGTCATAGGCAATCAATGGGGACCTGCATCTTAAACTTCCACAGCAGGTGAGATTACATGAATGCAACCTTTTGGTTTTTGCAGGATTCAGCCTGTTTATGTTGTGGATGTTGCTGCTGCTATTGTCAACTCCCTCAAGGATGATGGCACCAGCATGGGAAAGAGCTACGGACTTGGTGGACCAGAGATTTATACTGTTCATGATCTGGTAATTATCATGCACAACATTTTGTTATGCAGCAATGAACGAATCTTCAAGTTGGTTGGTCAGAGTTTTTTTATATAAAAATGTTCTGGATGTTACAGGCTGAGCTGATGTATGAGACAATATGTGAATGGCCACGGTACATCGATGTTCCTCTTCCTATTGCAAGGGTATGAACTTAAATAATATCTTGTGTTGGTCAAGGCGAATGGCCACGGTACATCGATGTTCCTCTTCCTGTTGCAAGGGTATGAACTTAAATAATATCTTGTGTTGGTCAAGGCAACCTGAGTATTGGATTGTCTCGTCTTTTGACCGTCATGCTTTGGGTTGTGCAGGCTATCGCATCTCCTGAAAGCTGATAGATTGGGATTTTTTTTTTCAATACTCTAAGCCTCTAATGAAAGGTGCATATGGACTTTTATTTTAGATGTTCTAACTTTGTTTTGTCTCTACCTCTCAAATTGTTACTATATATGTACTCTTCAACCTGCCGCATAGGTTGGCACATGTTTATAAGGTCAAATGGAATATATTTCTTGTGTTTTTACTATCATTTGGTTTAGTTCTTTCACACAGCAATGTTGCTATTTCTATTGTTGCTTCCCGCCCTGGAAAAAACACGGCTCAAGCCGTGAGGTCTTCATTTGCTTCTCTTGTGACCAATTAATCTGTAGGTTTGGGTCCAAAGTATGCTTTCGCAACCAAGTGATGAAAAAAAAAACAATCTGGTTGGGGATGTCAATTGGTTGGTTCATACAAGTGAGTTGATTTGATTATTTAATTTCCTCTAAACAATACCTCTAATATTTAATGGTCAAGGATGCCATACCATATATACTGTTGGCACTTGTATACCACGTGCTTAGGCTGCCATAAAATGATTTGCCATTTCTGGCAAATGATGTAAATGATGACATAGAAAAGTAAAAAATTGCAGGAATAAACCTATGACATTCGCAACTTTTTCAAGTGAGGGATCTGTTTTTTGGTTGCAGCTGACAGTGTCATCACGTTGTGGGATCCTGGTAATAATATCACATTTGTTGGTATGATTAAAGAGGCACTATTTAGTGGTATGCTACTATCTTTGAAATGTTGTGGATGAAGCACTGTGAGTTGCTTGTGAGGAAGATCAAGCACATGGTTGCTGTAATTCTGCTTCTACCTACAATATCTTTTTAGATTTTTTTTTATCAATGAAGGATTCTCCTATTTTAGTAGTTAGTACCACATATTTTGTAGCAGTTTGGTTGAGGTCTTGATGAAAAACGAAACTCGAAAGTTCTCTACATATTCCCATCTTTGTTATATTAGAAATCATAACATTCTTTGCTTAATAGTCATTTACTCTGAATATTTCTATTTTTTGCTATAGTCCAAGCATTAAATGACCATGCTCTGATTTATAGTGTTTTCAAGAATGCCGAGCTATTGGAATTTCAAAAAAAAAAAAAAAAAAAAAAAACTGTCTTTCTGATTTTGGGGCTATATTTTATTCATGTATTATAATTCCCATTTCTCCTTTGGTTGGGAACTTGTGATGTGATAGACTTTGGTAGTACATTTTTATGTTGCTTTAAGTGGAGATTGAGAATTGAACTTTGAGAATCATCTGCATTGCAAATATCACTTTGGTATTGCTGTTCTTACTCTGATTAAGTTTACAAAACGATGATTCTCATTGTATGCTGTGCAGGAGCTATTCAAGGCAAAAGAATAAATAAGATCCTATCGTCTTCAACGTGGTGCTATCATCCTTGGTCATCAGGGAAAACTCAGAAGACCATGAACCACTCCGGCCACTCATAGTAAGAAACATGATCATAACCCCATGCTAAGATTGGTTCTGTAAACCTAGATTTTTGTTTTAATCTATAATACCAACAAATTTGAGCCACAAAAAAATCAGTACGAAGAGATCATGCTTAATTTTGTAAATGGCTGACATTCGGAAAAAATGTTTGCCGAATATTTTATTGTTAGTACTATATATTTGTTTTCATAAGATTGGCGTGGCAAGAACCATAACCTTCTTGATGGAAACTCCATCTCTAGAATAGTATGGATTTGAAATTTGTGACATGAATCAGTAAGAGAATCAACTGCATTTGGAATATAATGGTCTATTATGTGTCACATGTTCAGTTTTGAATAAATTAGACACATTAAAGGCTGCAATTAAGATTTTAGGCACTAGATCATAAATTTAAGCACCAGATCATATTCAAACAGCTAACTGCTATCATGCCCTAGCCAATTCGGTTGTATGGATGCATTCAAAATTTCAATTCAGGTCAGTTCTGATCAAAGATGATTGGTAAAAAAGGTACTTCAAAAACATTGACCTCGTATTGACTGACGGCAGGATGAAAAGAATACTTGTGATATACTGGTGTAATAATTGTGGAGCGATGATTCACAAACAAAGGATGCTGTAGTTGCTTAAATGCATTTAAGTTGCGAGGACAGCAGGTATACATTTAAACTGTATTTGGATCAGTGATACTTTTAACAAACATGTAACATTGCAAACAAGAATTTACTTACCATTCGTTTCTATTTATAATGGCTCAACTTTTTTTTAGTCCGAAGATTTGCCTTCTAGATGCGATATCAGGATTGTGAATCAGGTCAAAAGCACTGCACCTGCGATGGTAGGATTTGCCAATGATGCCTTCATAACTAACTCGGAATCAAGTTTGTAGCTCCCATATATCACCAATTGCAGACGATAAACATTACACTGAAAAAAAAAATCGCATCCTACTTAATTAGGTACTGGCGCCAAAGCAAATTATGTGTCAATGTTGTCTTTGTTGATAGGAATGAAGGTATAACACATCAGACTGCTTAATCTGCGTTAAACATGAGAAACCTTTCTTATGGTCTTGTAATAGTTATTACAATAATAGAAATGTTGGTGGAAACAACTAATGGTTTAGATCTTAACTTGATGGGTGGTGGATGACACTGTTTTTGTAGTAGTGTTGAATTCTTGGTCTACTTTTGCTATTTATGAAAGAAATGCGCTAATTTTGTGAATTTTGTCTATCCTTTGCAGGACAGTGGTGGTGAACAGCGTGGCATTCATGACAATAGAGATAGGCAATGGCTGAGGTCAGTACTGGAGCCTTTGGAATTTGAAAAGGATGATTTCTTTCAAAAAAAAAAAAGATTGGGGACCAGTTCAAATTTGAACAAAATTATAAGGAAGCTTGGCTAAATAGGCATATACCTCGTACCTCCATCTAATGAGAGGAAAAGAAACTTACACAATGTCGAGCATTAATATCATTTTTGAATATATTTCTTCGATGGTACCATTGTAGTTTCATCTATTTTACGAATATATTTATATTGAAATTAGTGGTCAACAAATCAAGATGTTTTCCTGACCAACGAAAATGACAGGCTATTTAGAAAATGTTGAATTTATTACATAGTTCTGGACATCAAATGTTATCTATTGACACCAGCAATCTTAAATTTTATTCCTGTTATATATTATTTACCTGGCTAATTTCCAACTGTTTAAACAAATTTACCCAACATGTTGTCACTCTCTTTGCACCAACTGCGTACAGATTTAACTTGCTCTTATACCAAAATAATGAAACTCTCCTTCAATGATGTAAAATGATTGAAGGCAGAAAGTTAATGCTACACGGGAGCTAGCTAGCTACTACTACTCCAGAAGATACTGATTCCTAGCGGGCATGTGGAGTTGTACTACTAGTTAATTAATGGGGCATGTTCAATTAATGTTGGTCGCTGTGTGAAGTGGATCGGAGTAGTAGTATTTATATGGGCACCCAGCAGGCAGGGGAGGGATCAAAATCGAGCGCACACGTACTGTACTTACTGCCAGCCACTAACAAGAGTCAGACAATGGACTCAAAGAAGGTCGCGTATGCTGTTTTTATCGTCATTCTCCTAATGACGGAGGTAGCGGCCGCCGCTGCCGCTGGAGGCAGCGCCCGTGGGACTGGTGGTACAGGTACATCATCTTGTCATCTCTTAAGTAGTACTGTAGTATCGATCTTTTCATCTGCATATATATATATATATATATATATATATATATATATATATATATATATATATATATATATATATATATATATATATATACTGTCCTTACTTGTGCATATATGCTTTTTCTTTCTTCTTTTGTTTAGGTGATCGCGCCAACGATGAAGAGAAATTTATCTTTGGCCATCTGAGCAAAGCAATATTAATTTACATAGCCAGTCACTTCCCAGGTCACATTAAAGAGTGCGTCAACCACGTCGAAAACCAGTGTGGCTGGGCTCCGGCGCCTGGATGCCTGAAAGAGGCATTAGCCACATGCGCCAAATAAGGCGCCCGCTGCTTCGCTTCCTCTGGCGGTCTGGCCCCTCTCCGCATAAATAATTGTAATAAGGGGTCCTAGTGAATATATATATATATATATATGTGGTACTCACTGCAGTGAGTATGTATTATGTACTACTTATTATATAGTAATAAAATTTGAATAAAGTAATATTTGAGCCTGCAGATTTTGACTACCTGATATTACTCGGAAATGGAAAAGTCTAAAGTACGAAACTGCGTTTACGGAACATATACGAAGAACAAGTACGCGGCATACCTTTATTTTTTCTACAAATCTGTGTTACTGAGAAAAAAAATTATACATAGCATATGTAGCTGTCCAATCTCGAAACGAGTAAATCTAATTACTGCATGCTCATAGTACCATCGACTAGTACACAACTAATCACTAGTTAACGTGCACGTGCCAGACACGTCGACATATATTGAATAGAGTATTGTTTACACTAACAATGAAGAGGAGAGAAATATGAATTCAGTTTTGTAGAGGCTAGAAGATTCAATCCTGGATAAAAGAAACAATGCATATTATGAGATTTAAACTGAAAGGCCAAGTTAGAAAGTAGCGTAAAAAAATTAAAGGGAACATTTGAGATGTAAACAGAAATCTCACATTATTGTCCTTTATCTCAACATAACCACTTTACAGATACCCAAGCTGTAATCTTTGTTATACTCATGAAACTTGAGTACTTGAGGCAATCAGTAATTTCATCCACAATGGGCACCACCAGAAACTTGGCAAGTCCATAATGGGCGATGGCTGCGAAACGTGGGTGGCGGGTTACATCTTCAAATTTCGTCAAGGAACCTGTCAAAGTTCATCCATAAGCTTGTTACGGTTCTTAAAAATGATATTTTTGTCTAGAACATGTAACAGTTTTCCTATTGCAAAAAAACAGATAGAGAACTTGCAAATACCAAGTTGTGTTTTCATTAAAAAACGAGTTTGGTGATTGGGAGTAGGGAAGAAGACCAAGCTTAAAATGTGAATGTAATTGCAGAGAATGAAATTGTGGTGTAAGCATTGAAACTGCAAGCAAAGCACTAATTAACTCGAGTGTTACCTATGTTCTAATTCCATTACTAATTACATCCCCTTCACTGACCAAAACTCATATATAGTCAACCTTGAGCAGGATGAGCTGCTACAGACCCATGGAAGATGTGCTCCAATATGAAGGACCATCATAAGCAAGGTAGAGCTATTTGTTTTTTCTTCAATTTAGTGAGTCCTATTTTTAACTGTTTAGGATACTGACTGCCGCACCATGTAAATAAATTTAAGGGAAAAAGGAGGCAGGACAAGATGAGCATTTATAATGCAAACTATTAAAAATCACAATTCGTGGACATGTGCCATCAAATTTGCTTGGAAACTCTCTCTGCTAGTCTGATTCATCATTGTTAGTGTAAGAGCAGTTAGTGAGAATACATATGCTACCCGTGCAATCACATGGAGATAATAGAGAACATACTTGCAACACCGTATGCGATGACAGCTACGGAAGAGTCTCTCAGTGCAAGCATAGGGGGACAAAGCTTTTATACTCTATGCAACCCTGATACAAAAACAAAATAAAATGATCACACATAAAATCAATAATCAAGCATCTAGGAAACTAATCAGATTGTTAGCTGAAGCACAGGGGGTGCCATTCTTCCACCATCAGGATTTGATCTTCCTTGTCAACAAGCAATTATCCCACAGCGTGTACAGATCGAGTGCTAGCAACAAAACCTGGAGAAAGATTAGGGCAGGTTGGGGATGGTAGCTAACGGTGAGTACGGGCTCCGGTCACACCAAAATGAAGCAGACCAAGGCCAGCTTTCAGATTCCAGATGAACATATGGCAACTTTAATTTGGTCAGTTTTGCACTCCAATTATTGTGGATAATACTATAAATTAAATATTTTGAGAATAAACTTAACAAATAGTAGAGCTTAAAATAAATGGACTAAAAAAAATCAATTTCTGGAGCTATCCATATTCCACAGTAGGAACTAAATTCTAGATCACTCAACTCAACTCATATGTCATTTGCAAACATCTCGACCTTCTACATACAAATCTAGAGATCCACTTGTACTAATTCAAGTTCATTTGCCAAGCATATTAAACGGATAGCAAACGCCAAGAGGCTGTATGAAAATAGCCACGTATAGGCCCGGACATGAAAAATGTCACTCTTGCCCTTTCAGTCACGGCCCCACCTGTCATACTCTCTCACCTCTCTCTTTCCCCTCTTCCCCTCTTCCTCTTTATCTCGTGAGCACAGTCGGAAGCAGCGGTGGCCGACAGCCGGCGGCGGGCACGACGAGGGCGCGGCGTGGCGAGGGTGCGACGGGCTGTTGCCACTTATTTGAAGGTATATTTAATTCAGAGATGGTGCATGTCAAAATAAATTAACAAAAAAACATTTTTCTGTTGTTTGTAATTCTTTCTAGGCCCTCCACAATTAATTGATTGAGAATTTCTATTTTAACACTTATTTTCAGGTTGGGAGTGAGGTTCAAAAGGCTTACGGCAAAGGAATGCCAAAATCAGAGTATGCTTGGGATTTATATTGCCTCTAAAATTGCATTAATTATTCTATGGATTTTTCAGCGTGTTACTTCTTTTAACTGCAATAGCAACCTATAAATTCTTTTAACTGCAACAGCCATAATCCTATTTTCTGGTTCTATGAAGGATCTTCAAGGATTGGAAAACTATAGCAGGTGATAATGCACTGGATTATGCAGCAGAATTTTCACATATGCTTGGGTTTGATGGTGTCAAAATGCTTGGGTTGATGCAACTATGTGTAACAAAACATGTAATTTATTCCATCTTGTTTAAATTTCTATATTTTGTTTCTGAAAGACTCGGTTTGATTTCTTTTCCCTCATACAGACCTGGTTTCTTCCAGTGATCATGAAGGTCAAAATGTCAGTGCTCATACTGGAGCAGAGCCATGGTCTAGTTATAGGCCATTAGCACCGTTTATATTGAGGGTAACTGGTGTGGATTTGAGATGACTTTCCTTACCCATATGCTCATGTTATATAATACGTACATGATAGCAAAGGAGCTATATATATATATATATATATATATATATATATATATATATATCATGTTATATACTACGTACATGATACCATGCGTTTAAATAATTCAAATAAATATCTATGTCCTCCGTTGTATCTACTGGTCACTTTTTATTTGGATGGTGGATTGTAAGAATATGCTTTCTTGTTACACTTCCAGCCTAAATGGCAGTCATGTCATGAATTAAGCTTAGCGCCATTAATCTGTTACCTAATTTGCCATACACGTATAACACGACCTATTCTATTGCGATGATATTTTACTTGATAGGCTGCACAAACTGGCAAACAACAACTTGGACCTGCTTGATGTGCTAAACAGTACCATGAACATTCGGTTTCCATAATGTGTAGGTTAGCATTATCTTGTTCTAGCTAATCCAAAGACATGTGATTATCTAATGTAGGCCTTTAATTTATTTTTCAAAAATGTTCTCAGATGACAAAAGAAAAAGATTTAGATCGTCGTCCCGGTCCTGTAGAATATCTCAAATGGGCTGCGATATATTTTTCTAAATGAAGATAGTCCCAGAACATTGGGGGATAGTAATGATATACCAAAAGTAAAATTCCCGTTACATATTTATAACGAACGAAAATTGAAAGACCCCAAAAAAAAATTATATATGTGGAAGAACTTGTTGTCTCAAGCTCCGTTTCACCCTACAGGTCATTGGGAGAACATCCTCTCTATCTTTTATTGTCATGGCTTTGCAACAACTAATGTGATTTAGTAGCTATTGTATGCGATCCATGGAATGACTGTACGCGTGCACCTGTCTCGACATGCCATCAGATGTTAGCATATATGTCTAGCTAGACGCACCAATCCTTTCCGTGTAACTATATGGCCAAAGAGTTCTAGAAAAAGGCGTAACCATTGGCATCGTTAAAATTAAAGGTTGAGTTCCGAGAAAATTTCAGACAATATTTTAGGGATGGCGAATCACATGAAAATACTCCAAACATGGTTTATTCAAGGAAAGTTTAGTTCCCTCCTTTACTTTACATGTCAAATGACTTGCACATTAATATAAATTCTATAAATGATTAATTAAATAACTTCCAGTCCAAAAGAAAAACTCATGGCCTGACCGGTCATCACACGACAATGGTGTATTATGTACTAAAACTCGCATTTCTGAAACTTTTGTATAGGCTTGCGAAACAAAATGTTTAGCTTAATTTGTTAAAACAAGATCAATTATTTTCATCAGGCCCAATATCAAAAATTAAAAAAAATGATGAAATCAAATGTATGTATTATATTGCCTTAATATGGTGTTGTTCTCTAACGAGGAAAAAGATTGTTTCAGTCTTGCACTTAAAAGCTATACTTTTCAAATCGGAACCTTCGATATTGTATTCGTGAAACAACATACCTATAAACTCATCGATGCAACACATTGGTGCAACATGTCAAGGCAATAATTGAAACATATTTTTTACGCTAGAGAAACATGTATAATATCATCACTGAGGGTACTGGTTTGTAGCTATTCAAAAGCAGCGTGCCTTGAAAGCGGAGAATTAGTTTTGTTTAGAAGAGTTTAGCGTGGCCGCTTGCCTTTTGTGTTCTCTTTGGCTCTCTCATAGCAGTAGGACTAGGAGTAGATGCACGTGTATCGTGGTGCCCTAGTTGTTGCGTTTTCCTAGAGAGCATGATCACAGGGCACGCACCGGACGCGCGGAAGGAAGCATGAACTATATCTATGTACTAACATTGCACGTACTCAAAGTGGAATATGAGACCGTATATTAATGAATGTTAAAAGACAAAGCACAACTGGAACTATTTTAATCAATTAAAGATAACAAATGCTTTTAGTAACAATATTGGGTAGAACAACAGACCAGATCGATCACATAGAAGTTATGAACACCAAATAATGAAACAATTGAAGAGGCAAAAGGAACAACAGGACAATGTAATACAAGGCCGACCGCTGGGTGGGAACCATTAATGGGTATCGTCCCTCGATCATGGATGAAGGAACAGATGTGCAGCTCGACACAATCATGCACGTGCGGGAACACTAGAAGCGCCACCTTTCGCTAAGTGTCCATTGAGTTCCTTAGCATCGACGATGCAACTGTCTACGCACTTCTTGTTGGTGGCAGGATCCTCCTTAAATTCTTTGCTACACCCCTCATTGCACAAAGCGCTGAATTGCTCCATCGAGGGCTTCATTCCTCTCTCCAAGGCCCCAAAAAGTTCCCTGTTCGTGAGGATGCAGATGTCTACACAGTGCTTGTGGTCGATGGTGCCTTCTTTTTCCTCGTCGTTGCAATGCTCTGAGCACACAGCTTCTTCTATATCCTTCTCTTCGGTGGCTCGTACTACCGCAACCACCGCCACAAGGGTGGCAAGGAGCAGAGCCATGGTCTTGTTCTGGGCCATTAGCACCGTTTCTATTGAGGGTAACTGGTGTGGATTTGAGATGACTTTCCTTACCCTGATGCTCATGTTATATACTACGTACATGATAGCAAAGGAGCTATATATATATATGGGGCTGGGAGAGCTTCATGGACCACCAATGAGGCTAATTATATGCATGTTTGTCATCTTTGGTTGCTAGAGATGCGTTCCTTATGACCAGAGAGTGATGAGGTTCTCATGGCATGCGTGCATGCGTTTAAATAATTCAAATAAATATCTATGTCCTCCGTTGTATCTACTGGTCACTTTTTATTTGGATGGTGGATTGTAAGAATATGCTTTCTTGTTACACTTCCAGCCTAAATGGCAGTCATGTCATGAATTAAGCTTAGCGCCATTAATCTGTTACCTAATTTGCCATACACGTATAACACGACCTATTCTATTGCGATGATATTTTACTTGATAGGCTGCACAAACTGGCAAACAACAACTTGGACCTGCTTGATGTGCTAAACAGTACCATGAACATTCGGTTTCCATAATGTGTAGGTTAGCATTATCTTGTTCTAGCTAATCCAAAGACATGTGATTATCTAATGTAGGCCTTTAATTTTTTTTTCAAAAATGTTCTCAGATGACAAAAGAAAAAGATTTAGATCGTCGTCCCGGTCCTGTAGAATATCTCAAATGGGCTGCGATATATTTTTCTAAATGAAGATAGTCCCAAAACATTGGGGGATAGTAATGATATACCAAAAGTAAAATTCCCGTTACATATTTATAACGAACGAAAATTGAAAGACCCCAAAAAAAAATTATATATGTGGAAGAACTTGTTGTCTCAAGCTCCGTTTCACCCTACAGGTCATTGGGAGAACATCCTCTCTATCTTTTATTGTCATGGCTTTGCAACAACTAATGTGATTTAGTAGCTATTGTATGCGATCCATGGAATGACTGTACGCGTGCACCTGTCTCGACATGCCATCAGATGTTAGCATATATGTCTAGCTAGACGCACCAATCCTTTCCGTGTAACTATTTGGCCAAAGAGTTCTAGAAAAGGCGTAACCATTGGCATCGTTAAAATTAAAGGTTGAGTTCCGAGAAAATTTCAGACAATATTTTAGGGATGGCGAATCACATGAAAATACTCCAAACATGGTTTATTCAAGGAAAGTTTAGTTCCCTCCTTTACTTTACATGTCAAATGACTTGCACATTAATATAAATTCTATAAATGATTAATTAAATAACTTCCAGTCCAAAAGAAAAACTCATGGCCTGACCGGTCATCACACGACAATGGTGTATTATGTACTAAAACTCGCATTTCTGAAACTTTTGTATAGGCTTGCGAAACAAAATGTTTAGCTTAATTTGTTAAAACAAGATCCATTATTTTCGTCAGGCCCAATATCAAAAATTAAAAAAAAATGATGAAATCAAATGTATGTATTATATTGCCTTAATATGGTGTTGTTCTCTAACGAGGAAAAAGATTGTTTCAGTCTTGCACTTAAAAGCTATACTTTTCAAATCGGAACCTTCGATATTGTATTCGTGAAACAACATACCTGTAAACTCATCGATGCAACACATTGGTGCAACATGTCAAGGCAATAACTGAAACATATTTTTTACGCTAGAGAAACATGTATAATATCATCACTGAGGGTACCGGTTTGTAGCTATTCAAAAGCAGCGTGCCTTGAAAGCGGAGAATTAGTTTTGTTTGGAAGAGTTTAGCGTGGCCGCGTGCCTTTTGTGTTCTCTTTGGCTCTCTCATAGCAGTAGGACTAGGAGTAGATGCACGTGTATCGTGGTGCCCTAGTTGTTGCGTTTTCCAAGAGAGCATGATCACAGGGCACGCACCGGACGCGCGGAAGGAAGCATGAACTATATCTATGTACTAACATTGCACGTACTCAAAGTGGAATATGAGACCGTATATTAATGAATGTTAAAAGACAAAGCACAACTGGAACTATTTTAATCAATTAAAGATAACAAATGCTTTTAGTAACAATATTGGGTAGAACAACAGACCAGATCGATCACATAGAAGTTATGAACACCAAATAATGAAACAATTGAAGAGGCAAAAGGAACAACAGGACAATGTAATACAAGGCCGACCGCTGGGTGGGAACCATTAATGGGTATCGTCCCTCGATCATGGATGAAGGAACAGATGTGCAGCTCGACACAATCATGCACGTGCGGGAACACTAGAAGCGCCACCTTTCGCTAAGTGTCCATTGAGTTCCTTAGCATCGACGATGCAACTGTCTACGCACTTCTTGTTGGTGGCAGGATCCTCCTTAAATTCTTTGCTACACCCCTCATTGCACAAAGCGCTGAATTGCTCCATCGAGGGCTTCATTCCTCTCTCCAAGGCCCCAAAAAGTTCCCTGTTCGTGAGGATGCAGATGTCTACACAGTGCTTGTGGTCGATGGTGCCTTCTTTTTCCTCGTCGTTGCAATGCTCTGAGCACACAGCTTCTTCTATATCCTTCTCTTCGGTGGCTCGTACTACCGCAACCACCGCCACAAGGGTGGCAAGGAGCAGAGCCATGGTCTTGTTCTGGGCCATTAGCACCGTTTCTATTGAGGGTAACTGGTGTGGATTTGAGATGACTTTCCTTACCCTGATGCTCATGTTATATACTACGTACATGATAGCAAAGGAGCTATATATATATATGGGGCTGGGAGAGCTTCATGGACCACCAATGAGGCTAATTATATGCATGTTTGTCATCTTTGGTTGCTAGAGATGCGTTCCTTATGACCAGAGAGTGATGAGGTTCTCATGGCATGTGTGCATGCGTTTAAATAATTCAAATAAATATCTATGTCCTCCGTTGTATCTAATGGTCACTTTTTATTTGGATGGTGGATTGTAAGAATATGCTTTCTTGTTACACTTCCAGCCTAAATGGCAGTCATGTCATGAATTAAGCTTAGCGCCATTAATCTGTTACCTAATTTGCCATACACGTATAACACGACCTATTCTATTGTGATGATATTTTACTTGATAGGCTGCACAAACTGGCAAACAACAACTTGGACCCGCGTGCCTTTTGTGTTCTCTTTGGCTCTTTCATAGCAGTAGGACTAGGAGTAGATGCACGTGTATCGTGGTGCGCTAGTTGTTGCGTTTTCTAAGAGAGCATGATCACAGGGCACGCACCGGATGCGCGGAAGGAAGCATTAATTTACTTTTATATGTCTAAGAAGTAATTTAGTGAAATCTAAAAGTAATTTAGATATATTATAAAAGTAATTTATAATTTTTCATCAAAATATAATCATGTGAGATCTTGTTATAAAGATTTAATTGTTACGAACACAACAGTGTAATCGAATCGTAAGATCGGATGAGTAGTTTAAGAGAAAATTTTATTTGAAGTATAGGTGGATAGGATCTCTCATAGATGGAGTGAGACAAACCAGCTATTACTAGCTGTGTAGTCACATCCAAATTGATAACCTCAAAGTTTTATATATAAGAAATAGAAAAATTACATAAACAAGGTATCTTACACTTATAAAAAAATATCATATAAAGTAAACATCATGCATGGTACATTTTGTTATCACCTAATATATTTATTCTAAGATTCGTGCAAACTACATATAGGTAGGGATGAAAATGGATCGGATACGGACGGAAACTAGCTCTACCATATTCGTTTTCATTTTTTTTTTCGAAATCGGAATCGGAATCGGAAACCCCGGATTCGAAAACGAAATCGAATATTGTCGAATGCAGATACGGAGCGAATACGAAACGGAACAAATACGGTAACGGATAATTATCAAAGTAAACAACCCCTCAAACCGAGCTTCTCAAATCAGGGAAGAGATATAGCTCATTATTTTTTCTAATAGAATATATCAATATTTTCAAATTTTAGTGTTAATAATTTTGTTATATCCAATTTTGTGGTTGAGGGAGAGGATTCAATCGAGAGTAAGACAATAGCGAGGCATAATAAACTTATTCCTCTTCTTGCAATAGTCAGCTAATTTTGATTAAGAAATTGATTTTTCCATATGGGCCTCTTAAAAGGTCCGTATGCAAAAATGAACTCATTTTTACATACGGGTGTCTTAAGGAGCCGTATGTGAAAAATAAAATTTAAAACTAGTTTACCGCACTCATATAAACTCCAAATTGGATTATTCTTTTTTCTAAATGTTTCTAAAATCATGTTCTATCGAGTTATTGTGTTCTTACTGCTATTATTTTGGCCATATTTTCTTGTGACTTTGTTTTACCAACTAAAAAAAATTGAATTTCAAAAAATGTCAAGTTCAAATAATATTTTGAAGCAGTAAATAATTTCAGCTGAAAAAATCATGAACATAAAAGTTGTAGAACTCATCAAGAGCTACAACTTTTATTTTGGTCATTTCTTCATCCGACAAAGTGATAGTAATATTGTTTACAAAATTTGCATATTTCTCTTATAGCTTATGAAACCTTATGCGAGATATGCTAATTTTGTAAACAATGTTACTATCGCTTTGTCAGATGAAGAAATGACTAAAATAAAAGTTATAGATCTTGATAAGTTATACAACTTTGTTGTTGATAACTTTTTGAGTTGAAATCATTTAGTTTTTGAAAATATTGTTTGAAGGTGTCATAGTTTGAAATTCAAATTCAAACTGTTTAAACAAAGTCATATAGAAAAATGACCCAAACAAAAGTTGTTGATCTTGATGTGTTATACAACTTTGTTGTTGACAATTTTTTCCATTTGAAATCATTTACTACCCAAAAAATTATTTGAATTTCTTATATTTTAAATTTTAAAATTTATATAGTTCAATCAAACTCGGATGGAGAAATGACCAAAAGAAAATTTGTAGATCTCAATAAATTGTACAACTTTGTTTTTGATAACTTTTTCAAATGAGTTTATTTAGTATCATAAAATTAAATTCGAAGCGGAGGAACGCGATATAGACTTAATAGCTGATTCTTAGGCCCATTAGCCCATTTAGATGGAGGGATATATATACCTAACCGGCTAACCCTAGTCCGAACTCCCACCTCCCAATGGCAGTCCAGCCGCCACTCTTCCTCCCGGCTGCCGCGACCGCGAGACGCCTCCACGGTGGCGGGGCCGGCGTGCGGCGGACGGCGACGACGGGGACGGGGACGCGTGCGGCGGACGGCGACGGCGGGGGCTCGGCGGCGCGAGGCGACGACGTGCGGCGGACGGCGACGAGCGGAACCGGCGGCGCGGCCCTCGGTGCGGCCGGGTCACGGTGACGGCGGGAACTCGGCGGCGCGAGGCGACGGCGTGCGGCGAACGGCGACGCCGGCCTCGGGGCGGCCGGATCCGTGGTCGGCAGCCCTGGTGCCGCGGGATCCGAGGTCGTGAGGCGACGGCGACGGCGGGGGCTCGGCAGTGCGAGGCGACGACGTGCGGCGGACGGCGACGAGCGGAACCGGCGACGCGGCCCTCGATGCGGCCGGGTCACGGTGACGGCGGGAACTCGGCAGCGCGAGGCGACGGCGTCCGGCGGACGGCGACGCCGGCCTCGGGGCAGCCGGATCCGTGGTCGGCAGCCCCGGTGCCGCGGGATCCGAGGTCGTGAGGCGACGGCAACGGCGCGAGGCGACGACGTGCGGCCGACGGCGACGAGGGGATCCGGCGGCGCCGGCCTCGGGGTGGCCGGATCACGGCGACAGCGGGAACTCGGCGGCCCAAGGCGACGGCGTGCGGCGGACAACAATGATCGTTTTTGAGTTTTTCGATGTTGTTATTTTGGATTTGGCTGTTGATTTTTTTTCTGGATATCCGGCAAAAAAAGGTCGTATAGTTTCCGACCGAATCCGAGTTCCGACGGATACCATCGCTACTGTATTCGAATTCGTATCCGAGAAAAACTATCCGAATTCGTATCCGAATCCGAAAATATCCGAAAAAAATCCGACCGCAGCAATCCGTATTCGAAAAACAGGATCGGAATTCGGAAATTATCCGTACCACTTTCATCCCTACATATAGGATGTAGATTGTGAGTACACGTCAACTCGCGTGAAAAAAAAAAATCCAACCAAGAATTTTATTAACTGTTGCCGAATACGAATATCTCGTTGGCCATCCATGTAGCAGTCGGGCTGGGCCGGCCCAGCCCAGACCAGCCCAGCCCACCAGGAAGAGGAAACTGAGTCAGAGTCAGACATGGGCTGCCTCTAATATACAGTGCGTCGAGCCCGAAGATGATCCGTCTCCCTTTCTTCTCCCCAAAGAAAGAAGCGAGAGAGAGAGAGAGAAAGCTTCGCAGGCGACGATGGCGAGCGGCGGCGTGGTGAAGAAGGAGATCGGCGGGAACCACGACGTCCTCCGCTTCGGCGTCAACGACAGCGTCAAGGGGGACCTCGCGCCGCCGCACCCGCTCCAGGCCAGCGTCCACAAGGTCTTCTTCTTCTTCTTCTTCTTCTCCCCCCTCTCGCCCTCGAAACCCTAGCTAACACGCTGAATCCCCGCCGCGCGCGCAGGATGCCAAGTTCTGGGCGGACAAGAAGAGGTTCGGCGCGGAAGCCATCTACGGATCCGCCTTCAACATCCGCAAGGATCTTGATGCCCAAATCCTCTCCAAGTAATTCACTGTCCTATCCCCATGTAATTTCCGCTGCAATACCACCATCTGTCCAAGTTGATAGATAGGCACTAGTAGTTCCATCTGATCTGAGCAGGCAGTATTACATGTCTTGTTGGAACTGTTAGGGGAATTTCACCTCCGTAAACTTAAGTGGGCTGGCTTATTATGGGCACGAGATATGCATATTTGAATTCGATGTGGTTTATATCCTCCCTGTGTTTGTTAAGATTGCCCTTGCAGTTAGCTTTTTGTGTGTGTGTGTGTGTGTGTGTGTGTGTGTCTAGTTGTAAATCTGGTAGTAGCTCTTTGCATTTACTGCAAGTCTGCAACTCTTTTCCTATGTGCATATTATATCAGTGATGTTATGTTGGTGGTCATCAGTTGTATTCTGCTGACAGTGTGCAAATTCCTTCTGAAACTTCTTGTTATATACGCCAATTTTCCTGGTTAGAATAGTTGATTCTCAAAATATTGTGCATGTGTAGTATTTTGAGCATCTCCACATATCAATATGCTCAGGTTACTAAGATTTTGTTGATGCTTTGTATGTTCTAGTATGGATCACTCAGAATGCTTGAATCCCTTGGTCTGGTTGAATTCGCAGTATCTTGATGTTGTTTTTGTTTGTCTGCCCCTTCTAGTAACAATTAGCACATCAATACACTGCAAATAGGAGAAAAACAGCACGCACAACTCATCTCCATTGCTTTTAATTGGGCAGGCTAACATGAAAGATGTTTTGATTGATGATTTATCTGTTGCCAGGTTCCAAAGGCCCCCTGGTGCATTGCCGTCATCTATGCTAGGATATGAGGCACTGACTGGTTCCTTAGATGATTTTGGGTTTGAAGATTATCTTAACTGTAAGGATTGCTGTCCTTTGATTTCCCCTGAATCTTATTGCTTGCTTTTCACATTTCTTTGCAACTATTTGGGAACCAACTTTTGCTTATTTATTATATTCATGTTTATGTTCTTTATTGGAGTCAGGGAGTGCCACCAAAGTTCTATTTACCTTCATATGAATTCTTGTTTGTTTACTTTTAACAGGGCAAAATTGTGTAGTCGTTTTTCTCGAACATAAAACTATGTAGTCTTGTGGCATCTTGGTATTGGTAGTTTAGAAGTTCTTGGAAAACAAAGGGTCATCTTGATAGATTTTTGGTGTTAGGATGTACTACCTCTAGACTCTAGTCAAATTTATTCAGCGTTAGAAACAATGCCAAATAAATTTGGCTGGAGGGAGTACTTGAAATAATAATAATTATCTCAAATTGGTTGTTTTATTCCGTCATCATGATATCCACAAATTATATATTTTGCTTCTGTCGGTGCTTTGAGCTTGGTTTGGCTTTACTTTCCATGCAGAACTTACATCTCATCACCATTCATTAATGCTGATTTATACTAATCACCACAAAATACAGCCTATATAGACTATATTTCAGTTCCACCGCCCTTGCGACAACTTTTTTCTTGTCAAGTACTAGTATTTACTCGTCCTATTGTTGCTTATCGTTGTGTTAATCTTCCTTTTCCATTGATCACGTTGCAGTGCCCCAAGATTCTGAAAGCTTCCGTGCTCCCGACATGCACCACGGAATGGAGGTTCGCCTCGGTTTGTCAAAGGGACCTGTTTGCCCTAGTTTCAATTGATTTCTCAAAAATGTATTTCTTGTCTTACACTGCGCTCCTCGTTCAGTATCTATATCGGTCTTTAGACCGTGACCGTGACCGTGACATGTAAGAACTATAGGTATTGCATCCGTTTGAGGAGTTCTAAAATCGAATTTAATGTTATCATGTTTGAACTTATGTCCGGTTTGCTGGTTGCTGTGGTCGAATGCACTTAAGAAAATGATTTGCTCCCTGCATGGACATCTGGGAATCTGGCCAGTTGGAGCGTGTACATAATGAGATGTCTATTATGCATTGGTTCTACATATATAGCCAATCCTTCTCTTTACGATGTTAACACGCTGTCCATTTAACTAATCTGGATTTGAGTCCATCATTATTGTCACTTGAACCTGGACTGCTCAGATTCATCACGTAGAACACCAATAAGTAAGGACTTTGGTCGTCCAGATTCATCACGAACAAAATGAACAGGGATTCCTAGCTAGCTACTACGGAGGGAGTAGTAACATCCTGAGAGTGCATTTGACCCTTCAATCTGCTGATGTTGCGAATAAGACGGACATAATTACCCTCCCCTATGCAATGTCGCCGCCTTCATAAACACAATTAAGAATCAACCCATGCATTCCATCCATAGTGCCACGATGCAATTACGATTTTACTAGGAATTAAGAAACACCATCTCTGTATGTTCAAATTACAGCGTGCGCAATTTCAGGGTACAATTCGTAACTGTAAATGATGGCAAGGCTACAAGGATATTACGGTTACCCATTCTGTACATCTCGCAAATGATGCAAGTTAGTTCATTCAATCGCACTTCAGATTCAAGGATAAGTTCTACAGCCGCAAAGCTCAAAATCATGAAGCTGGAGATTCCCATCCCGTGTGTAGGAAAAACGTACAAACTCGTTTCTCGCTTATTTCTTCAGTAGGCAATCCTTGAAGCCCTTCTCCAGTTCTTCCCCATTGAGATTCTTGCCTATGAATACAATCTTGTTGATGCGTGGCTCATTTGGTTCCCACATTCTCTCGGGAGATCCCTGGAAAATGTCGTGCACTCCCTGCCCAACGAACACAGACATTTCTTAGATAACACAGAGTAATTGGTTTCGTTGTGTAAATACCACAGTAAGAGATTAGTACGATGGAAGAATCAAGAGTGGACTAGGTAAAATTACGGGCTAAGTTTAACATAAACCTGAAAGACAAAGCGCTGAGGCATTCCACTGACAGAAAGTAGCCCCTTCATCCGGTATATGTCATCGCTGCGTTCTAGCAGTAGGTTTCCCAACCACATGTCAGCCTGTGGGTGCATGTAAGATTGTTATCCGCTTGTTTCAATATCCACAACCCCATTATGTGCAGGGCAATTAAAAGGGTGATAGTATTTGGATTCTAAATTTCATTTAGCGATGATGAGAAAATAGAGCATGACAGATAAATTTAGAACCAACCTTTTCAAGATCCATCTCCCCTTCACAAACAATGCTTACAGAAGAAACACCAGGATCATGGGTGTGATCGTGTGCATGATGGTCTATAAGGAAAAGAAAAACAATGAGTTTACCTGTTCTTCGTACCATGGACACCTAGCATATTTAAAATGGTAGAAAGAGTTTGAAAACCTTCGAGTGATATCAATCTATTTTGACTTACAATCTGGAAAGCATTGTCATGATTTAAGATAATCTCATCATATTATGCTTTCTGAAATTGAGTGAAATAATACAATGGAGCTCCTGGCCTCCCGCTAATGATGAAATGCTTTCATGAGCTAACTTATAAAAGGATAGGTACACAAACCTCATGAGCTAATGATGAAATAATACAGTGATAAAGGGACCATATGGATCTAAGATGTGTGTGCGCACAAACCTCCTATCAAGCTCCTTGATGCGAGGTTTTAGGTTTTAATGTAATATTGCTAATACTACCATAAAGAAGAAAAGGGTGTTACCATATTATGTGTACCAGAAAATGAACAATTATTCTTTTTGGAATATTCACGTAGTGATAGAAAAGTAGCAATTAAACTTCAAGTAGTAATGATTCATATAAACATATAAGAATGCCTACACAGTTCAGGCATGGATATATGCTTCTTAACAATCTAGATTCAGTATGTTGTAACACTGTCTTAATATTATTGAGTCAAGCAGGTTTGTCACGTATTCTTCAATAGTTGTCCTCAACTACCTTTCAGTTTTGCAGTTCTCAACATGATAATTGGGTGTGTATCATGACTGTGATCATGATCATGTCTCAGGATCTATACTTACCATGTTTGTGTTCATGGTCATGGTGATGATGGTCGTGATGATGGTGTTCATGGTCATGTTTATGTTCATGCCCTGTGTGGTGGTCATGTGAGACTTCAGTTACCGCACTCTCGATCCTGGAACAGAAACAAAATCGAATCACTTATGCTCAGCATTTTCCTGAAACAGGTAACCAGAGCTAAACTTGAAAAACAGTATAGACTCGAATGTACGTGCAATTCATTACTAGCACAATTTAAGAACTTTATCATATTCAGCCATAGTTGTTGAGATCTTTAATCTCTCAATGCCGTCATTCATAATATAGTGGCGTCTAGTTTTTTAGAAATTAACACAGTGTAAATTTCATTGTGCTTGAACAGCTAAGATCATCTCGTCCAAGAGCCATCATTGACAATGGCACTAAACAGGTTTGATTTTTCAATGCTAGATTACTAGCAGAAACCATATGCCTGATATAGTGCTATGTATGTATATTTTCACTTCTAGCAACCTATCATTTCATTATGTTTGAAAGGCTCAGCACATTCAACTTTCTTGTGTTTTGATCTTCCCTTCCTGCCATTGAGGGGGTAACTGGACACTTCTAGGGCACGTAATCATCTAAAAGGACGGTATTATCTTTGCTCAGATAGAGAGAGAGAGGAACCTCTCCAAATCAAAGCCTCCAATTCCAAGCACGTAATCCAAATCAACTTTCCCATACTCGGCTCGTTTCAAATGAGCCATGCGATTCATGCTCTGTATGCACCAAATAAAGAAGTTAGAAGCAACCATACAGTAAAACAGAAGAAAATGAATGCATTTGCACTGACCCTAATACGCTCAACCAAGGAAGATACTTCAGGCTCACTAACAAGATCAATCTGCAAGGGAAGAAATTAGAGATACCGTAGTAACAGTAAGGAAAAATATAACAGGAAAAGATTTATACTAGGTAAGCACACACATCAATACAATCCAGCAAGTAATTGCTACAGGACCATTACCTTGTTAACTATGATTCTGTCAGCATATGCAATTTGTTGAACTGCTTCATTGACTATACCCTTGGGCTTTACTTCATCCAGATGTAGCCGTGCATGCTTTGCATCTACTAAAGTCACAACACCATCCAGCTTGACATCATTAAAAACTGTATCTTCTGCATAGAAAGTCTGTATAATGGGTGCTGGATTTGCTAAACCTGGAAAGTTAAGACAATACAAGTGTGAAAATTTCATATAATTAAATAATTAATGAGTAGCTTTGAAAAATGAATCTCTGAGGATTTCAATTGTGGACAATGAAATACTGCCCATACAAATAGAACAGATTGCAAAATGGGCAAATCAAATATCTGAAATTCAAAGTGAAATTGTATACTCGTGAACATTGCATATCACACATCTCTCTTGATTTTGTTTCAAATATATAATTTCTACAACAATAACCTAAGTTTCTTACCAGTGGTTTCAATTATAATGTGGTCAAACTTCCCCTTCTTCTTGTCAACCAATTCGCCAATCATACGGACTAAATCACCACGAACAGTGCAGCAAAGGCACCCATTATTTAGCATCATTATGTCCTCAGCTCCAGCAGTTTGTGCAGCAACTAATGAACCATCAATATCAACTTCTCCATACTGCAATTGAGACACATTACATAAATGGTGTAAGCACTGATTTTGTAGCTGTGGCCTTCATCTTGCTAGTTTTAGCCAACCTTATTGACTAATGATTATTTCTCAATAATGTAATAAGGTTTGCTCTATCAAACCATTCGGAAATTCCAGGAATGGACAAATATTTACTGCTTGGACTCCCGCAGAGAAAACATACAAGGAATTGCCAAAAGAAAAAACAAATGGTTGAAAAACGTTGTCCAAGATGAGTACCTCATTCTCAATGACGGCAATACGCTTTCCATGGTGAGCAGTCAAGATGTGATTTAATAAGGTTGTCTGCAAATAAAAAACGACCGCTCGATGTCAGAGATGACAGATCATCATAGTATGTATAACTCATCGAACTGAAGATATGTCAGCACGCTTGTTCTTAAATTATGGGCGCACTGGTTGTTTAAGAACGACCGCACGGGTTGTGTACTAGCGGGCGCACTTGTTGGCACACTGATTTTCTAATATAAAAATGCTGCATATAATTCACTAAGCATCATACATGTAGATTTCAATTTTACTAGTTCGTGCGGTTAAAAACCCACAAGGTGGATTAATTTCAGAAAAAAAAAAGAATGAGGAACCGAGGGTTTAGGACTTTTCTGGCTGTAGTACAAATTCATACTAGGAACTTAAGCACCGTATGTATTCAGAGTAAATAGGCAAACACACGCTACTAGTTGAGCAAAAACATTGTACACACATGACATCACTGTGGGAGAGTAGTATACAAGCATCTCTACAGTGCAAAATCACGGATACCTTTCACCTAAAGCCGAATCTTAATTATTATTATTTTTAAGCCTGACCTTCCCGGAGCCGAGGAAGCCGGTGATGATGGTGGCGGGGATGCGGTTGTCGGGCGGGATCATCACCTCAGCACCTGCTCCCTCCTCCTCCTCCTCCGTGGTCGTGGAAGCCGCCGACGCGGCAAACCGCCGCCGCGCCCTCCAGGACTGTGCCCCCACCGCAGCCGCAGCCCGTGGCGGAGCCGGAGCGGCGCAGTAGGGCCGCGAGGCTGCGCGCACGCGCACGCGCAGGCGGCGCGCGGCCGCACCGAGAGCCGCCGCCGCCGCGGCGGAGATGGCCGGGGATGCGGAGCAGAGCGCCGCCGCCATCGGGAGTGGAATGGAAATGGAAATGGATATTGCGAACCAATGGAGGACCAAGCACACGGAGAGGGCGTGTGCTGGAAATTATCTGGCGGCGCGCACGCGCGCTGCACGTGCGAGTAGCTTCGGAGCCCAAGGCCCAAGGCCCAGCTAGGATGGCTAGCAAAGGGAGGCACAACAATGTAGTGCATTGGCCCACTACAATAGTTTCTGCGTGGTCTAAAGGGAGACCCAACGCTGCGCGGTGGGTGATGCCGAAGTTTGCCGGCAGTGGCAGGCCCAATACTTTTTTTCCCTTTTTTTTCTATACGGAATATATGCACTTTAATTTGATTTTATACGTGAATTTTATTATTTTTTAATACTATGAAGTTTGAAGAATAATTTGTAAAATTTACAATAGAAATAGGTGGGGTGATACATTCACGGCCACCACCCGGCCTGTCCTACTTTTTAAAGAGTGTAGATATAGAATTTACGGGAGCTGCGAAAATGAGTGCTAATTTGGAACCTTTTTGTAAAAAGTTTAACGAAATTTCCTAAAACTCAAACTAGCTAGGGAAGTCCAAAACACATTCAGTCTCATCTTTTCACTTATGATTATACTCATAAGCCAAAATTTAAATTTTCAAACTTAAACTTAGAGTTAATTTGGGGTTTTTTATCGTAGTTTATTTTTTAGTGTTTGCTTTTAGATCGCTAAGAGCATGTATATAACAGTTTTATTCATAAATTATTTTTTTGTTTGCAGATACACCGTTTGGCGAATAAGCGAAACGATGGAGCCGATTCTTTTTGCAAACTATGTTTGTTTACACAATTTCCCAATACAGTATCACGTAGTAATGTACTACAAAAATCTTTAAAAAAAAAAAGAAGGAAGCATGCACGTCGCTAGCATGCCCTTTACCTATGCAACTTGGCCTGGGCGAATTAATTTAAGCACGGCCATGGTGGATATTGAGATATCCCTGTGACTGTAGCCGCGATGCTTCCCAGCGTCTTACCATGTCGCTGTTAATTACGTGCCGTACATACGTGGACGTCGTCGGCCGCGATTAAATTAAAAATAATCTCAGATTTTCCACACTAAATTAGTTGCTCTCACCGTGTACGTGGACGTGAAAGAGATACACGTACGTACCAGCCGGCTAGCTATCCGATATTAAGTCCGTCACATTCTTCGCCTGAATATTTTCGAACAAAAATGTTACTCGTAGTAGTATTTATCCTACTCTCTCTCTAGTCTCTGTACATCATGTCAATTTAGGTGCGTACATTCGCCAACGCAGTGTATATAGACAAAATAAATGTAGATTTTACAGAACTTTGCTTGAGAATGACCGGAGTTTTTTCGTTCTTTCTTTTTATATTTTCTCTTTGTGTGAGAGAGATTGATCGATGGGTGTAGCTAGCTGGCTAGGAAGAAATTGAGATCTTTCAAGATCTTATTGTACAAGTACTATTAGTGTGGAGTGTCGACAATGATGCATGATGTGTTCAAATTTTGTACAGCAAGCTAAGCTAAAGCTAAAGATATATTTAAAAAAAATTCCGGCTTCTGCTTAAAAAACCACAGGCAATTATTTGAAAAATCCGCTCACACCAACAAATCCATAATAGCACATCCAAAAAAAGGAAGCACGGCACAAACTAATGACCAACAAAACTAGACAAATACCATACAATTATTGAAGCCTATATGTGAATCTCCATCCATTTCTAGGTTACGATATACAAAATGCATAAGTTTGATGTCATCATCACACCTTTACAGCTGTGTCCAAAACAAGAGCCAATATATTGCCCTAAAAAGTACATGTATATAAGATCTAGATGGTAATTTGTCAAGAACCATATTATTTTTGCTAAGTCATAGAGCCCAATATATAGTAGATGCTTTTACAAGAATATTTTTTTTCTTTATCAACACCGACAAACCAATTCCCAAAGATATGAGATATAGCATGTGACGGATATAAGTAAAAGAAATTGTACTGATAACAATACCTGATATATATATATATATATATACACACACACACACTATCATTTCAATTTATTCTAACCAACCTTAGTTAGGATTAGTCCTTTAAACAGATATCACATAAAAATATTAATCTTAAAATATATAGTATATTAATAATATTTATACTACTACGTGGCCCCTACCAGTTAACGACTGCAACGAGATGGATGGGGCAAACCAAGCCGACCAGTTTAGACGCGTCTGTGCTGTGTGATGATGCCACCTTGATTTCCAAATTTAACCGCCCCGCCGGTCGGTCGGCCCGTCTCTAGAATAATTTCGGAAATGCTTCCTGTCGTACGTCCGATGGCATCGGATGCTCGTGGCCCATATAACTCTAGTGCTCTGCTAGCCCAGGTGTTAACCTGGCACACTGTGTGAAAGGAAAGAAAAAGAAATCATTAGCTTCAAATGATTTTTCTAGTTAAACTATTTATCTAATCCATGATCTAATTACACTAATACATTTGTTACGATTAAATCTTTATAACAAGACCCCACATGATTATATTCCGTTGACTTTATCAAAACTTATTTTTCAGCGACTGATTTTCTTAGTGTTGCACCTAATATTATTTGGATGTTCCAATGAATATTTCCTAATGTTCCACTATGTTATTTGAAAATGTTATACAAGTGGTGTTCTTTTGAATGTTTTTTTTCAACAACAACTATGCTTCATGTGTGGTTTAATTTTTTTTAATAAAATCAAGTATTTAAATTGCAAATATAATGTATGTTTTTTTTATGTTTCACATGATGGTATTTAGTGTTTCATCTAGTGGTTATGATTGTTGCAACTAGTATTTTTCATATGTTGCAATTCTCTGAAACATCACATGAGATGAATTGAAACATAGGCACAAATGGTGAAACAATTTTCTATAAATGATAAAAACAATTGATTTTTTGAGATACATATATTTTATGGCGTAATTGAATAAAAATTGGATTTGCATTTTAAGATTAAAGTTTATTTAAAGAGTAGATATATGAGAGAAAAAAAAGGAGAAGACACGTTATGATTTGTTTAAAGAGTAGACATGCAGCCATAACATGCATGTAGGGGTGGAAAAAAAGCTCGGGCTCGTGAGCTCGGCTCGTGAGCTCGGCTCGGGCTTGGCTCGAGCTCGCAAAGCTCGGCTCGGCTTGAGGACTAAATGAGCCGAGCCCGAGCTCCCTCCACAGCTCGTTTCCAAACCGAGCCGAGCCCGAGCTAGCTCGCAAGCTGCTCGGTAGGCTTGTCGAGCCTGTGGAAATCATGTGTCCCTGAGCCCATTAAGAATTGTTTGGCCCAATGGCCCATGAAACAGAGAAACCCTAGGTCCCTGACCCTGAGCCGAGCGCCTATCCAGTATCCAATCCCTCCCCTTCCTAGCGGCGACGACTGGCGGTGACTGGCAAGAGGAGTTGCTGGCCGCCGCCTCCCTCCCCTGCGCTGTGCGCCTGGCCGCCTGTGCTGTCCCCAGCCACCCAGCGCCAGGCCGGCAGCGCCGTCAACACCCTTGCCCCTCTGTGCCGCCAACCCGCCACCTCCCTTCCCTGCGCTGCAGGCTCGCCGCCTCGCTCCCCTGCGCCGCCTACCTCCCCTACTGCGGCTGCGCCGGCGCCGACCTCCCTCCCCGGCGACGCTCGACGGACTCGACGCCCCTTGTGCCATCGTCCTACCGCGGCGCCGCCTCCCTCCCCTGCCCACCTCCGGCCTCCGTCCCCAGTGCCGCTCGAGCCGAGCTCGGTGCCTCCTGCGCTGCCGGCGTCCCTGACTCGACGAGACGCCAAGTTGCCAACCGATCGACGACAGTTCACGCAACGACGTGCCTAGGATGAAGAGGTTCGTGAATCATGATGTATTTTCTCATTTTTGTGATGCATGTTATGTAGCTGTAGATTGTTGTGGTCAGTGGAGTAGTGTGTCAATGTCAATGATTCAATCACAGAAAGATTCAGGCAAATAAATCAAAAATGTTGTACCAATACTATAGTTTGAGCCATGTGTTTTGTGTAGTATCTTATATTAGATATATATATCTATTTGTGAGAGTGAAACTGCGACTCTTTGTTACTGCATATACTTCACATTCTTGTTTTTCCATTGCTTATAATTTTGACTCATCTTTAAATATGTTCATAGATCCAAATCCAAATCAATTGATGCTTCGGATGGTAAGGTCGTCGGTGCTTCTGCATTCTCTACTACTGGTGCCTCCTCCCACGCAGTTATAGGGTCTATTTCAAGTGATATGGCATACAGAGATTGCAATGTACCATTATCTCCAGTAATAGCCATGGTACAGTACTTGCCCTACATGACCTTAGTTCTAAAATGAATAAATGAATTGCATGTCGATATGCATTGATTAAATTCTGTTTTGTTTATGAACTGTAGATTGATGACGATAATTCAAAGGATAATTCTTTTGATCATAATGATGACATGTCAAACTCAATGCCAAGTGGTGATGAGGCAGCGACTGGTGGTACTAGTGATGCTTCTACAGGGGATTCATCGGGTAAACGCCGAAGAGGAAAGAAGCTAAAGGTTTCACCCAAAGTTGCTACTGTAAAGGGGAGGAAGCGGTCAACTTGTTGGAATAACTTCACGGAGGTTAAAGTTCCTTCCAAGGTAACTCCAGGAGAGACAGAAACAAAGGCTAAGTGCAAGTATTGCCATTCATTGTATGCTTACAAGGCTGGGGGAGCTACTACACATCTTGTGAGGCACATGAACAAGTGCACGCCTTACTTGAACCAGTTGGCCAAGAAGAGGGCTCAAGCTGTTCTCAACTTCACGGCAGAGAAAGGTGACTCAGATATCCCTCTCATTGTCACTCCTAGTGAATATAACCATGAGGAAACTCGTAAACTGATAGCTAAGATGATAATTGTTCATGAGTACCCATTTAGGATGGTAGAGCATACTTGGTTCAATGTTGTGATGAGGTATTTAAACCCTTCATATCAGTTTATTGGTAGAAAGACCATAAGAAGTGAATGCTTGAAGGTTTTTCATTTTGAGAAAGAAA